GAATATCGATTTGAAATTCAAGGGGCCGCGACATCTGCCAGATCGATCGGAAAATATCAATTTTGGAGGAAATCGGCTGATCGGTTTAGCTTCTGTCTGTTGTCCGACAGACGGACTTTTTGCTGTCTTTCGATTTTTCGGTATTAAGGACCCTCAAAAGAAGGATTTTGGCTACGTGTTGGAGAATTTGTTTCTAAAAGCAACTTCATTATTCTACTTTTCCCTTTACCAGGACCCTGTAATAAGAGTTTTTCTTCCACAAATTCGCTGTTTGTTCGCGCACATTACATAACTTCCTCTCTACTCCGTAGCGACAAAGTAAGACATGTGGACCCATTGTGCGATGCTGGGTTGAGGTGCAATTATGAGTTTATGCAGAATGAAAGAAATAGCACAGTAGTAAAAAGCTACTAGTAGAAGCCTTAGCATGTAGTACACAAAGCAATATAAATAAACTAGTGGAGCTACAGAATAGTACAGATCTTCCCGTATTGGCACTATCCGTTTGAAAATTATGAAAAAAAATGGGTACGTTTTTGAGAAAATGGCGTTTGAGCGTTTCTGAAATTGCGAAATTTTGAGTTACTTTTGACAGTTTTAACGGCTGAATTTCGAGCAGCTTTATGTGATATTATTTAAAGCACATGTACTCATTAATATAATAATGTGAGTAAATTGCTGCTAATGTAAATATTAATGACGTGAGAGACAAGTCAAAAAAATTATATTTTTGAAACAAAAACAATAGAGCAATATGGCGTTTATGTCATCTTATAGAGTGCATTTAGCACAATCCCTACCAAAAGTTTAAAGAAAAAATTGAGGGTTTTTTTTAGAAAAACGTGTTTTTGTATTTTTTTCAAAATGCACAAATTGCACGCAATATTGCGCGAAAACTGCTAAAATTTCAAACCAATGTACTTGATCTTAATGAAAGAACAAATTATAGACAACAATCTTTAATTTTGTTGTAGAAAGACCCCCAAAAAATAAAACTTTTAGAAATTTTGAAAATTCAGAGTTAAACTTGAAAATCGGACGCATGCTACATTTCTAAATGTATTTTACTCTATTCTTATAAGAAATTTAAAGAAAAAAAATTGAGCCATTTTGAGAAAAGTTCTCAAATGTCTCAGGGGCTTCATGTAAAATACCCCCAAAAAACTAATGAATAATTTTCAAAATCGGCAAGCTTTGACTTAGGCCAAATGGACAGGGGTTTCGTCAATTTGGGAAAAAACCTTCGCATGGTTTCGTTGCTAGTGTTGTTCATATACACCAGACAGACGGGCGGACGTTTTGAAGAAGAAAAGGGGGGAAAAACACTTTTTCGGTATCAGGAAACGTGTATTCCGTTGAAATCTTGAAATTGATTTTCCGCAGCATTACAAAACTTTCCCTATATTGCATGTATTACCGGAAAGTAAACATACGTTTGTACGTCCTAATTAAGTTTCTCTCGAATTGCAAAATGATTATCTAGTGCATTGGTTGTTTTAATAGAATAGAAAGCCTCTGTTAAAATGTGTTAATGACATTTTACACATGGGATGGACCAGTAGATTTGAAACCATGACCTCTGCGATGGAATGCGAACGTTCTAGTAGATACGCTAAAGATATTTGTGACTTTCGATTTTAATCTAATCAGCTAAATACATACAGAAAGCGTATCTTTAGTTCTAAGTAGTTTTTTATCTGTGTACAAGGAAGGGAAAACAACAATAACAAGTAACGATCTTGAATTTTATTTATTTACATTACTATATATGGTGCAATTGTCATGAAGGATGAAACTGAACGAAATGTAATGATTTTCAATATTTACAGTATTGATTGCAATGATTGGGAAGGTTGAGCGTAAATTAATTGTATCGACATCATACCGTAGGTAATAGCATGGGAGATAGTGAGTTTGCCGAAACTCGAAAACTCGAGTAGTCTCATAAACCTTAAATAACTAAATAATAAAATGTTATGCGGAGTAATTTTGTACATTTTATGAAATTACGATCCGCGTGTTGAATTCAATTCTACTAGATAATATGACCTAAATGATTATTGGTTTAATGGTTACTGGAGTTCTGAGACAAAACTCAATTCGACAACTATTTAATAGGCATCCTAGCAACAAAAAAAGTGTGTTAATACCATGTTTGATCATTGCGTATGGTTTATTACGCCTTTTCAGCAACGAGGTGGTAAGGTAAAAGCTATCATTTTCAAGCTGTGAAGGTTGGCGTCTGAGATATGAACTCTACGGATTTGCGTACATCGTTTGTGACATCGTGGGACGTGTTCGCGTACATCGTCGTCGTTGCCTTCCTTTGTCGAATTCCAGGTAGAGCAGGCAGAAAGGAAAGAATGTTCCACGGAGAGAACCCTCTTAATCCGTTGAAAAACTTTTTTACGTGCAGAATACAACGGAAGACATGTTGCTGTATTTTGGGATGGGGAATTGCTATATTTTGCAATGAAGATACTGTTCTCCAGTTCTTACTCCAGTTCCGTGGTATTGCAATAGGAACTTTGATTTGTATGGATTGGTCGTCCGTCAAACCAAGAAAATATTGTATTGTTAAAAGATGATCATTATTTGTAGACCTTAAAGAATATTGTCTACCCTAGATACACTTTGAGACCGATTTTAGGTCAACAAACCAATAACGTTTTCGAAAATGAGTATCATTGTATTTAAAGAGGTCAATACTTTTATAATTTGGGGTATCTCAATTCTTCAATATATTACTTTATTTAAAAATAGAAGATTTCATCTATATGCTATTTTTATTTCCTATTGCTTTTTCCGAAAGAATGTTTCTTTTTCAAATTTAAAAATAATTGTAAATGAATAGTTTGGCCGAAATTGAATTCAGTGCATATTCATTCAGATTACAACTTCCATTAGTGTTTCTTTCTCCAATGAGTTTCATCCTTTGGAATGAAATGCGTATAAAGCATTCATGTAAATATGGAAGACGAATAATATTGGAAAAACAAAGAACAAGATCATCTTGCCGTGTGGTCAAAGTTCAAACAAACGCAAGTACGCGGAAGAAAGCAAATGGTCGTGTAGTAATTTACGTATTTTTGTTTACCTTTCGTTGATAATTTGTGAAAGTCTGCAAATCAGATTAAATTAAGGAATACTAAATATTATATTTTTAAACGTTTCCCTTAGAACTCATTATAAAGAGAAGATTCAAGGTAGATTGATTTAAATAAATACTACGTTATTCTAAAAAATATAATGTGCGCGTGTGAACGTCTGAAATACATCTATTTGGGGTATTTCGTGTTTGCTAAAAGGAATAAAATTGTTTACGAATAGATGATCTGAAAAATAAGGGTGATCCAAATTGAGGTTGTCCTTAAGATTCTCCAGAATATTTAATCCGCAAGTGGTCGACCTTCTTGGGAAAGAGCGTGTCAGCAGCTCGTAAATCCTGCAACTCCTGATGTGTTTTCCTTGTCGATTGATGTGACCTTGGCCGTTTTTTTTCTTATATATTTTTTTTAATTCGATTTCTGATGAGAATACATCTGGTTACATAAAGCATTAAGTTGATGTTGATAAGGACATGAGAGAGTTTTCTTTACAAGCACATGACAAAAAGAGTTTAAAAATAAGTAAATTAGGATATTGACATTACAATTCCCTCTTATTTATCAGTAATATATGGAAAACTAATAAAATTTCTTAATTTCCTTGCATTCTTGTATTTTATGTTCTTTAAAAGGATATATTGAGGTAATTGTCTAGCTCTTTACGATGTAGTGCGAGTTGTAATTAATAGGGAGCAGTTGGTTCGCTTGTATTACTGGATACTGATGTTGGTCAAGGGATTGGCTTTATATTTATCTCATTACTTCATGTAATTCTAGTTTCCTGGTAAGATGTAATGTCCTAAGGATTTAATTTTGTATTCTCTGAATTTAATTATTAGTGTAGAAGTATAAAGAACAATCATTAGATCATAATACATTAATTTAGTCGGAAGATCGTTTGAACAACTTCAGCGTCGGTAAACCTAAAAGTATATTTTCTTATTACTATCTGAAAATACGTTTATTTTCGTCGTAGTATGGTGTTCTGATTTGTTGGTTTGGTATTCTTATTTTATAGATATTTACTATTCGATTGACATTCAAAGCGCGTAAACAAGAAATGACGTATTCATGATTAAAGAAAATATATTGCAGGACAAATTATCTCTCGTATTTCCAATCCCATAAATACAGTTAATAGCTGCGGAAACCATCTGTGTTTTTATAATTCCGATTCCTCGCTCGTTGACTGAGGGGACATTTAATTCCCTCCCCTCGGCGCGCCGTCTCGGAGCAGAAGCAACGGCCGCCCAGCTGGTCGGAGGGCGCCGCGCCCGGTTCTTGGCCGACCGTTGGCAGGTCGCCTTGTCATTAGCATCACAAGTCTCCATAGAGACCATCCGTTGCGCCGCCGCCCGCCCCAAGACGCGCCCTTTGTGCCGGCGCTCCGGCGACCGTTGAGCCCTTCCCGGCGGCACCCGCCCTCCTCTGGAGGCAGCCCTTTATAAGCGGGCACCTTCGCTGCAGAGGGCACAGTTCGTCTTCACCGGTGCCGGAGGGCACGTCGCCGCCGCCGGGGCCCTCACCGTCGTCGCGGCCTCGGCGGCGGCGGCACGCTCGAACTCTGCTCGGACTTCAACCCACGCTCGGACGCTGAGCGTGGACGCCCTCGGCACCGCCCGCGCCGCGTTCGCGACGGAGAAGTCGCGGTCCTCCGGATCTCCCGGGGCCTCGCTTCCGCTGCTCTGCCGGGCGACCGCGCCCGGTCAGATCTTCCGGTTTCGTGTGTGCGTGTGCTGACTGTGGAGGCGCCGTGCCTCGTGCTCCGCGTGTGTTGCCTCGCGGCTGACGTAGTAGTCGGCCTGCGATCGCGAAGATGTCGATCCGCCGCGCCTCTTCGGCTTGCGAGCCTCGGCGCGCTGATCGAACCCTGCGGGACCCCTGGGCTGTCGGATGTTCGCGGTGGACGTGCCCTGCAACTCGGCGAGCGCGGAATATGTCCGCGCCCTCGCCTCCAGCGGACGACGCGTGGACGACGTGTGGACGTGTGGACGAAGGCCGGTGGCTCCGGCCCAGATAAGTTGCTCTGTCGGGACAGGAATCCTCCGTGGCGACGGCGACGCTTCGCTTTCCGCTTGCCTTTGCTTCTCGCTTGCACTTCGTAGTAGAGGTTGCGCCTCCGGTAGCTTGTTTTCACTCCTTATCTAGGTTCACGATTCACTGCTTGCTCCGGACAAATCAATCCACCGAAAACTAAGATGGAAGTATTCTTTATATTATTTTCTTTTGAATTTAAATCAGTATGATAAGATTGAATTATATTTTGATCGAACTTCGGGTTCCAAAACGTAGAAATCAATTACTTATGTACGAAATGTTCTATTTCAGGTACGGTTCTGTAAACATTATGGTTTCCCTGGCGGAGTAGCTTTTATTGGTCATTTGAGCATCGTGTATTGCAAAATGGTTAATAGTAGTTTAGTTTTGCGTAACCTTCGCCCCAAAATCATTCGGTAGACAAGTGGTTCCGCGAAGAATGTAAGACGTGGTACTTTTAATTTTTTTGTGAGGGATTTTACAGTGTAAATTCTTTTACTAAATTACGTAGTCGTAGGTTAGATTCAGATAACATTTATGTAGATACTTTTAATTCGTATGTATATTATTTAATGGGTTAGGAGCCAAATAAGTAGGATTTTAATAAAGTTTGATACATATACCAAGTGCCTTATTAGTGAATCGAAATAGTAGTACGTATTTATCCATTAGTGACGTAGCTTTGCAATGTGTAGGTTTTCTAATTCCTTCACCCTTTAATAGCTCCTCGGTTACAATAACATTTGAATCTTTCACAATGCGTAAACAGATTATATTCTGGGCACATTGGTACCTCTTTAATTGTTGAACAATAAGCCTTTCAGATGTAAACATATTCATGTTAATGATCTGTTCCATATCTAATAGAATTTACAATCTAGATGCTACAATTAAATTGTAATAAGTTGATCATTTTTGTTAGTAAATAAACGGCCTGGTAATTAGTGAACATGCTCAAAATGTTTCTTAGCTCTCGTCTAGTTTTACCCATAATTTTCAGAATCCAACAGGTAGAAAAGTTACCATTGAAGAACAGGTTTGTCGATCATAGTTCACGGGATTCCCTTATCTTATGGAAACATACTGATAATTGAATTTTTGTGCAAATATGAATGATATACGGGAATGTTTGATGTAAGAGTATTCGTATGTAAAATATGTGTAAGGGTTTTAATTGTAGGTTGACATTCATGTGAAGTAAACCTATTGTGTTTGTAAAACTCGATAGTCTCTTATTACAGAATTCAACGCGAGAAAAGCCTTTAAGTTTTAAAGATAAGTGTCAATTATATAAATTTTCAATTAGAAATTTTATAGTAGTATTTGCATATTGCTTCGCAAAAACAAATAATTCAGTGTAGTGTGTCTGTTGTAGGTGTTTCCCTCCTCTACATATATTATCAATGGAAATCAACCGACTGCGTAATATTGCCATTTTACAGTAGTACGATGGCCATGTTCCAATTTCACTAATCTTAATTAGACATGTAATGTTAGGAAATCTAATTATAAAATAAAATTAATACATCAGTTCATAAATAAAAATACTCTTTATTTTGTATTCAAGCATGTCATTAGTAATGTTTTTATTTATTTTTGCAGTACTCATTTGTAAACGTGTTAGTGTTTAGTTAGTTTCTATCACTTAAAAGGTTCTTTAGATTATGTGTAAAGTATAAACATTTCTGCTAGATTGAATGTACTTTTAGATAACTCTGAGTAAAATTCAAAAAGTAGGAAATACTTCTTAAGGAGTTTGGAAGTTACATAAATAAGATTCCCAGTTTGTATGTCACTTTCGTATTTTGCGTCGTAAATTGAAATCGCTTCGCCACGCTTAACCAATTGCATCGCTTGAGCTGCATATTGCGCATCGTTCTTGTATCTGCTTTAATCGCCACGCGGGATTCTTGTTAGAGGAGATTGTAAATAGAGAAATATTTCTCACCATGATTATTCATTTTTAATAGTATTATCTCATTTACTGATAATTTTTTTCTTCATATTTTACAAGAGTAAAACTGAAGAGTTTACACTCGTAATTGCACTTTTCACATGTAGTTTCAATTATCACGGTAGTTTGCGAGGTTTAAAAAAATGATGTGCGTTTTTCATTACAAATCAATGTACTTGCCAAAGCCGTGTATAGAAATTTTAGTGATTTGTGAAGTCCATCAAGGTTCAATTTAGTAACAGATTAGAAAGGTAGTATTGATATGTAGAATCCTAAACTGGTAAAAATAGATCCCCCTAATGATAAAAAATTATCCATTTTCAAATTTCGTAATCATTATTTGTGGTATTCTTAGTAATTCCTGATGTCCCTTCGTAAATTCAAATTTCTGATGTTATATCACGCGTAGCAGTAGTGTACAAATAAATTAGGATTCATTAGTATATTTTTACTTTGTCTTTAGAAGTTATATAATTCAGTAATATGTGATAGTACCGTTTTTAGTGTTTTGTAGTATTTAGATATTACACAAAGTTGTTTTTTGATCTTTGACAATCATGCAGGGTAAAATATTTTCCAGTCGTTTTGTACATGTTTTTGTAGTTTATTTTTGTAATATTCATGTTTAATGTAAGTTATTTACATGTTCTTTTGCCGTTTGTTATTGGATTTTTTAAAATCTTTTGTTAGATTTTCATACATTAACTTGCAGGTGGACAGTAGAGCCTTTGTAATTTACTTTTTTTACAACTTGACCACCCGTAGATTTTTTTTTAAATAGGAGGTTCAGGGAGTATTTCCATTTATGTAAGGTTTGTATAATATTACATTAAATTTGGAAATATGTGGTACAGTTCTGTTTAAAAATTCCATATGCCGTGAGACATTGTAGTCTTTTAAGATTCGAGATTGTATCATGTTCTACCAAAGACGCGAATAAATGCTCACTGTTGTGTAGTACCAACTGTGAAGTACGTATGAAATGACTGTTTAGCGCTGGGAGATACGTCTAAGCCACCATCTAAAAACCAAAATAGAGGGAAAATTCATTAAGTGATATCATACGTCATTAATCTTGTGAGGTATTCGCATCTAAATTCTTTAACTTTTTGTTGAGAACTTAGTTTAGGAATTAAAATGTGGTTGATAGTTTCGGAACGGTTTAAGAGATGACGCGGTTTCAAAGGTTTAATATTCCTAGATCACCTTATCGTGCCCTCAGAAAAAAATAAGTTTCAGAATTGTCATTATTATTCTACCGATTTTTACTTTCCGAACTCCAATGCCAACTTCTATTTCCAACAAGGAGCTCATAAGATACTGAAGAGATCTATTGGAAAATAAATTCACGGGCATATTGGTTTCGTACAATGTTTCAGAGAATGTCTTGCAGTAATGTAATAAGTTCTCCGTTATACTGGTTCATTTCGCAGATTTGTATAATTTTGAAATTTGGGGGGCCCGAACCCCTCGCGCCGATTCCCCAAGCAGACGGTGACATCAGCGGCGATTGCGGGGGCGTCGGCCCGAAAGGATCGTACTCCTCGAATTTCAAACTACCCTCCCCCCACATACACACAACTACCAATTTCTGTGAAGGTCTCCTTTCGAACTTCAGTCGCCGCCGGATAAGCCCGGGCAAACCGCGAATTGTTGACGTCATCCAGTCGCGAATGTAGTTTTCCACGTTTGGGTTGAGCCCTGTGTGTTTGGTGAGGCGCGGAAACTGCGAGGCGAATCTGAGCTGCAGAGCCCTTCGTGGGCGTGTGCCTCGGCCCTTGGCGTGGATCTTCCTGCCGTGGCACTGCCTACCGAAGGGCCAATGGTTGACGAGCCTCGGCTTTCAACAGCCGGGGACGTACATTCCGACTGGGCATTATTTCACATTGCTGCAAATTATATCGATCGATATGTGCAGTTCTCTCTGTTGTGTTAGATTAAGCTGTTTGAAACGATCACTTCAGTAATTTCGGTTTATTTCTTCACATATTCAGAATTTTGATCGCCGTTTCATTATGTCTCCTAGATGCAGGGGGGTGAACTCTCACGTGGAACTCGATGCAGCAATATTCTAACAAAGCAACATGCTCACAACGCGATTCGTCTGATATTGCAGGGAGTGCACGATAAGATAAAAAGGATACCAAGTGATACGTCAGATGATTGGAATATGTCATGCGTTATCTTATTAACATCTGTTGTCTTTTTGTACGTAGTTTTCAACTTAATCCAAAAGTGAATGTCAGATTCGCGCTTTGTCCGTGCATATCTAGTTGCAATTGTGTTCGTGATTTCTTTCAAGAGACATCTTACATTGTTCTTAACGCAAGGAGAGCGGTTTTTAGTAATATTATTAGTAATTTTACTTGTAATTCATGCTCAGGTTCAGGCCCTGGTCAATTCATAACAAGAAACTTCTCTCAAAGGTACTACTTTAGTTACAGAACGTGACGCTCTTTTTTCTGACAATAATTAATTATGTAGTTCTGCTATAAAAGTTGGAAAGTGAGTTGCATTTTTCATTCAGAAATTGATTCAGATCTCCAGGATATCAGGACAAATGCCAACAAAAAACAAGAAAAATCTGGACAAAAAGTCTAAAACTTCTGATTACATATTACATTTTGATTATAAATTACCAATATATTTCAAAAAAAATTTGATTCTAGAATTGAGATTGAATCAATAAAATATTCATTTTGCATTATGTAAATTCATTCTTTCCGTTTCCATATATTAAAATTTGATTCACATTTAGTGTCCAGAACATTTGGAGTCGGAAAGTCATTAAAGCAAGAATACAGACTAGGTTCGAAAGTTTTCCCCGGGAATTGAAAATATATAAGCATTATCAATTTGTTAGATGCTATAAAGAGCTTGATCCACTAACTAGATCCCAAAATAGTGCATTTGCTTTCATTCTTTCGTGCTTTCACGTATAGGAGGAAAGTCTCTCCTCCTCGTCTCTAATAGGAGGAGCTCCGGAGCAGTTCAGGCTTAAAAGTCAACAGAGTTTTAGGAAAAAAGTAGGTGAATATTTTCATTAATTTAGACTATTGCTCGCGTATGAAATTTCAGAAGGAATATTTAAGCCGTGTCACTCTTACTATGAAATATGATTTTGCTTCTTATTTCCTACAACCCTATAAAAAATCAAGCATGCCATTTATTGCACAATATTACGGGAACATAAGATTACGTTCAAATTGAATACTAATCAACTATTAGAAACTTTAATGATTTCCACAAGAGCTCATAAAATATTTTCAGTGATAATATTGCTAGTACGAATAAAAAATCTCAACTTAATCAAATTATTTTTAAAAAGCAATAGTAACTTTACTTTTTATTTTGTGACGAAAATGACTGGAACCTACTACACAAGATTTGAGCTTGATCCGAATACGTTTTGTATTGCTCTGGAGCGAAAATTTCTAGTTTTCAAATGTTGCCAACCACGCGTGTACTTGGTTAGTTCACCATTCAGTTGTTTATAGTTGTGTAGTAGGATAAGGGCACTGGAGCTCAACATACGGGGTGCGAAATACACTTCTCCTCCCATATGTCACATAGTACTTTTCTTGACACTTTTGTTTTGTTTGATAATCCATGGACAGTGTTTGGACCCCGATGCGAAAGACCCCGACCCCGAAACCGTGCGATTTGCTTCGCACGAAACGATCGGGTAGCCCGCCCAAAGTAGCACCTCTGGGGCAGCATAGAAGCCGGGTCTGCTGCGGGGTGGCCGGCCAGGTAGAGGCGCGCGGGGAAGGCACGCAGGCATGTGACAGCGGCGCGGCGGGCGGGAGCGCGTGCGGGGCGTCACGTGGGTGGAGGTGGCGGAGGCGGCGTTCGGCCTTCGGGCCCGCCGCGCCGCGCCGGCCGGCGCGCCTCCAGTGCAGCCCGCGCGGACCAGCCGAGCGGAGCGAAACGAGAGGCGGGCACCGCGTGTTGGGAGAGGGTATGGCAGGGCGAGCGGCAGGTGGCGTCTGGCTTTGGGGGGATGTGCGACGCCTTCGATGGTGCAACGCGACGCGACACGGTCTCCCAGCGCTGTGCGTATGTGTGTGTGTGTGTGAGTTGCGATGAGGTAGACCGATTACCCTGGGGAAGTAAAGGAAAAAATGTGTGAATGTGAGATGACTACTTAATTATGTGGATTAATGGATGAGGAAAACTCTATAAAGAAAAAAAATTGAGACTAATTTCAGTTTTATTAGTATTTACCATAAATCTGTCTTGTCTTCGTTACGTAAACCACAACGGTACGGTGTGCTACGTAGTTCATTGCCCCGTGGCTTCCGTGTGTGTGTGTGTGTGTGTGTTCGGCAACGTGTAACGCGATCAACAACGTACCGGTGAGTCTTTCTTATTTAGCTTTTCGAAGCGCGAGCACCGCAACCTCATCAGATGGCTGTGCGTTACGTAATTGGCTCACCGCGCGCTTTGCGACGACTCCGCGCGCGCCGAGCGGTTCGCGCCGCCGCCGCCGCCGCCCCCGCCGCCGCAGTCGCGTCGTTCCGGTGAGCGGGGTCGCGGCCTCCGTCGCTGCTCCGCGCCGCATCGTGAGCGGCCGGCGGCGTGAAATTGTGCGCGCCGTCTCTGCTGTTGCTCTTTCGGCGCAGGAAACCGTGAAGGCAGCCGGTCTCCTTGAGCTTCGCGCCCGGCGATAACGGTTTGTGACGCCGGTTGTTTCCATATGCGCACTTCGCTAATCACGAACAATTCCGATTCCGAACTTTTCGTAAGGCTGCGGAGCGTTTTGATAGGGATAACTAGGGCAGTTGTTACTGTAATTTTGTTTCTAGAATTGTGTGTGTTTACAGGTTGCGGTTTTAGACCTGGAGGAAAAAATTAAATTTTGTAATTTTGAGAAAGTGTCTGTTTTTGAGGGAACTTTGCTCGATGCCGCGTGGTCAAACAGTTTTTTGTCATTTTAAACTCTCTGTTCCACTTCAGTACATCATCAGATAGACGCCCTGCTGAATTTACAGTTGATTGTCCTGAGCAGCGATCATCCTTTCCCTTTTTTTTTCGTCGCAGAAAACTTCCTTTGTCCCTCTAAGTGGCAGTTTCCTTTACATGCCAGCGTGCACCTGTTGCTTGCGTACCTCATTCGCTACCGTTGTGGCTACTTTAAAAATGTAGATAAACACAGTACAAGTGTGTGCATGCTGCGTTGAATCAACGATTAAGCCCCCTTTCTCTCCGAACCATGGCGCCAAGCGCTGCTGACGAATTGTCTTCCATTGTCTGAATCTCGTGACTTCCGCTGCATGCCGGATGTTTACATTTAGTGCATGCCGGGAATCCAGTTGAAAAAACTATCTGTAAATTAGCGTATCGTAACGTATTCAATTCTAATACTAAACAAATAGTGTGCACGCATGACTAATCTTTCTCATTTTCGCATGTAATTGTGTATCGAAACTTCGAACGACATTTCTGTGTGGATCTCATACTAATAAACTAACCTGTATGGCTGTGAATAAACAAAGCATTGCGAGTTTGATGAATACTAAAAGTAGGAAGTGCGTATAAATGCTGCCTGTCTGTCTCTCTTAAGTCCCACGAGTTCCAATTCAGCAGAATTCGGCTGTTTGTTTCCTGACCAATTAATGCGACATGTGATTCAGTGATGAGCGCTCCCCGTTTTGCTCTGATACATCCCTGTGAAACGAGCTCTTCACTTTCTCTCTTCCCGCTTAGCGCCGTCCGCGCTTCACGCAGACTAATTAACTTCATGGCAGTGTCTCTTGACAACAGACTACCATTAAATTCCTCGCCAGCTCCATTACAACGGGGGGGAGAAAGAGGAAAGGATGCCAAATTTAGTGTTTTTTTTAAGTAAAAGGCGTAAACCTTAATAATCCAAAAACAAATAATCACCTGTTTCGTTCTGCGCACCTTTTTGCCTTCAGTAGTTCAAAAACAATGTATGAAATAGTTGTAATTCGTGTATTCCAAACTCGCCCTTCCATCTGATGCCCAGTGAACACTAGCTTACCCTACAAATAATGTTTCACACGAGCATATGATACACAGACCTAAAATTCTTCCCGGGAAAATAAAAACATGATATAATCAGATTTCTGTATCATAATGAAATTCATATCATTAATATTATTTCAGGATTAAAAATATTTTGTTAAAAAATGAATTTAGACGTACATCAAGCAGTGAAAAAATATTTTAATTTCTTAGGTTTCGTTTACCGGATACCACTCCAACTCTTTGTAGACAGTGTAATGAATAACTTCCGTTGGCGGTTGTATCTGAAATGGCATCGGTTGCCTCGCTCGTGTCCGCGGTGGCGGTGAGCGCTCTCCCCGCGCGCCCCCGCGCCGCCGGCCCCGCGCCTCCGCGCAACCCCGTTCGCGCGCCGCCAGCCAGCCCTTGGAGGCACGCCTCGCGGCGGCGAGCGGCCCGCGCATGCACGGCCGCGGGCGCCCCGCCCGGCGCCGCTGCCACATCGGAGGCGCCCGGCGCGCGCCGCCCCGGCGCGACCGCCCCCCCCCCCGCGACCCGCGCACGCTTGCACCGGGGGCGGTGCCGCGCGTTCGCTTCTCGGCGAGTGGCGAGCGACCGCTCGCCGAATTCCGAGGAACGTGAGTGGGGAGCTTGCTATTTGACGAGCGACCCACGTTCGGAGTTCGCCCAACCCGCCGCGTGTCGCTCTCAAGGACACGTCAAAGGGAGCGAACGTTCTCCAAACACGTCAGCTGCTCGGGATTGGGCGAGCTGTCGCTCGCAACTTGGCGAATGCCGAATGTGTGGAGCCGCCTATACGTTCTAAAGTAGTTGGGGAGTCGACGAAGACAGCGGCGCTCTGCAAAATGTATTCTTCTGCCAGCGAGATGAGCCGAACCCCGGTAGTTAGTGCCTCCAAGTGATCACTGCGCGCAGATGGTTACAAGTCATTTACTTTGATCCGATATCACTAAAAAAGAATATTGCAAGAACTGATGCAATCCGGTCGATATGCAGGTGCAAAAGTGTATGCCTGAAATTTAAGTCAACATGCAGGTACAAACGGACAGGCTATAAATACTCAATTTCAAAGAGTCCACGTTGTTTATTTTCATGTTATTATTTAACTCGCAATAGATTAAATTTTAATAACAATTGTCTAAGTCAATAGTGGTACCTAAACAGGAAGTTTTAAAATGTACTTTTCTCGCATTTTCTAACTACATAAATACATTCATGACATTCCAGTAGGTAGAATGACAAAAATTGTATGGAATAAAATCGCGGAAATCCAAGTTAGTCAAGTTCCTGAAATTAATTCAAATAATTTTCAAGTGTATCCCATGTTGATATTATGTATATGACTAGGATGTCCGTGAAGTAATAATCACGTAGACAATAGCCCTCTTTCCTCCCACCCCGCCCCGCTAAGGGATATATATTTTATATCCCTGTGACGTATTTATAAAATTAAGAAATCCAGGTAATCGTTACTAAATTGTATAAACTATTCCATACCGTAGCATTGATGACTATATTTGACACATAGGAAACAAATATCAAAATAAATAGAAGTAAAAAGTTATCATCGACATATTCACAAATTCGATTCTAAACATGCTCAAGACATACATTATATACCACTCATTACCAATACTCAGGTCCAAATTATCAAAACCAGATGCATTGCTCTTAAATTTCATTTACATCATTTTAACTATTCGAAAAACCACATCCAATCCTATTATCCGATTATTCATATTATCAATCATGGATATATACTAATTAAACGCTCTCTATAAGGTACTAGTGACCAACTTAACGGGCGGGAAGATTTTCCCTTATAGCACCGCCGTCGCACACACCGCATGGTACAAACCCATGCCACTTCAGTAATCGCAGCGTCTGATCATTTTCTCTTTAGTCTAATTCCCTACCCAGGTCACGCAGCTCAGTCCGAAGTATTTGCAGGTTTCTCAGAGTATTAACAATATTCTCTATGGCCTCACGTCCCTGCCCGTCCTCTGAGCTGCCCCAGTGCTCTCAAGGACCTCAGCGGACTGACCATCCTTCTTTGGTCTCCAGTCCCTGCCCGTCCTCTGAGCTGCCCCAGTGCTCTCAAGGACCACAGCGGACTGACCATCCTTCTTTGGTCTCCAATCCCTGCCCGTCCTCGGAGCTGTCCCCATGTTCTGGAGTGACCACAGCGGACTGACCATCCCCCTTTGGTCTCTAGTCCCTGCCCGTCCTCTGAGCTACCCCAATGCTCTCAAGGACCTCAGCGGACTGACCATCCTTCTTTGGTCTCCAGTCCCTGCCCGTCCTCTGAGCTGTCCCCATTCTCTGACGTGACCACAGCGGACTGACCATCCCCTTTTGTCCCTATCCCTGCCCGTCCTCGAGCTACCCCAGTGCTCTCAAGACCTCACGGCACTGACCATCCTTCTTTTCTCCAGTTCCCTGCCCTCCTCTGAAGCTGTCCCCATCTTCTGGAAGTGACCACAGCGGACTGACCATCCCCCTTGTCTTAGTTCCTGCCCGTCCTCTGACTCCCCAGTTCTCTCAAGGACCTCAGCGGGACTACCATCCCCCTTGGTTTTGACGCGTGCCCGTCTCTAGCATTGCCCCCATGCTCTCAGTGGACACACGACTGACCACCCCTCTTTGGTTTCTTCTCCCTGCCCGTCCTCTGAGCTGCCCCAGTGCTCTCAAGGACCTCAACGGACTGATCATCCCCCTTTGGCCTCAGGCCCGGCTCACCACTCTGAGCTGCCTCTGTGCTTTCGAACGACCGCAGCTAACTGACCATATTCCCTTACATCATGCGTCCCTATTCTTGTCACTGTGCAAACCCCGATAGCTGAACTTGCGGTGATTGTATCTTACACCTTCACTCCGCAACAGTCAATACAGATTTCTGGTTTCGTCATAAGTTGGATTTCAGTGTTTTTTCTTTCTTCTCTCTTAATGATTTTTGGTGCAATTATTTAAAGTATACGAGACATAACCAATTTTCTCACTTTTATTGCTACATATGTGCTGGCGAGTGTCACCAATAATCGTCCATGTTTCCGGCAGCGAGTGGTATTGATCCAATATGTAGAGGAGCATCTTAGTGGTATGTTGTTGTATTTTGTACAAGGTATATCTCTATTGCAACTCCACTTGTGAATTGAATGTTTGATGTAAATAATTAAAAAATTCCGCGTCGCGTTGAGAATCTGTAGTACATACAGGTCTTAGACATGGAGGCGTGTTGCATCGTAACTTTTTCAATTTTATAATCAGAATAATAATTCAAGCAGACAGCATTTTTGTTACTGAACGTAAATAATACACCTTACCTATTCGATTAATTTTCAACGTACCGAATGAATTATCTTCTTAGGAGTATTTTAGTGAACTCGCTAATGTTTCTTCACTCTGTGAACTCATTTGAATAACGCTGTATTTAACATTCTCATTTAGTTTGTAGAAAAACCAACACATATAGAGCATGTGTTAACCTTTATTTTAATCCCAGCTGTTCCGATAATCTTAGTACTTCTTATTTTGGGCATGTGTCGTGTTTCTCGTTCTCCGTCTATTCATTTAGATTAGAGCTATTTTCACGGATGACAATCACGATATCTGGCGAGGAATGGATTGTTACCAACCTGCTGGAAATCCTGTGATGCAGGTGGTCATCTTCATTCGTAAAATATATATTTACTTTCTAAACCGAACATTCGTGCTCGCATGCATATGTAGTGATGTTTGTATTTCATACTATCGTAATGTAGTTTTGAAATAAAAATAACCAAACTATTAAAAAGTATGATTCAGTTTAAAACTGCATGAACTAGATATTTCAAAGCGCAATTAGTCCTGTGCCAGAATCTGTTACCTAAAAATATTGTAAGAAATCCTAAACTTCCGAGTCAGATAACCTTCAAAAATCCTCATCACCGTTCACTGTATCTAAACAACTGACGATCGCTTGGGGTCATTAGGCGTCGTTCGTCGCTGTTCGGCTATTTCCGGTGATGTTCGGTGACGTCCGGCGCCGTTGGGGGGGTGGTCGAGGCGCAGGCGTTCGGAGGGCCCGCGAGGGGCGCTTTCGGCAGGTGACACCGCAGGCGGCCGGTGCTCCCCTCCGCCCCCTGCCCGCCTCCGCCCCGCTCTCCCCCGCCCCGCCTTCCCACGACATTCCCCTCCCAGCTCTGTCCGTCTGACAGCCTCTGTGATAAACCACAAGTGCTACAAGGAGGTGCACGATATAGGAAATAGGAGGCAAGCTTCTTCGGACGATAGGTGCAGTTTCTGTTGCAAGTCAAAGACATTTCACCATCCGTCGTACTGTATCGTAGGAAGAATTTGCTAGCGGAATGGTTCTTGGCTCTTTCAGGGGCTCATGCAGGCAACAATCTCGGGGGAAATTAAGATTTTTGAATCAGTAAAACATAAATCAACCGTATTCATATCCGACCAACTTTATATTTTTGGTAGTCTATGCTGTGACTTACTCTATATTTTAAAAAAAATAACTCCTTCCAAATTTAAAATAGTGATTTAATTATTAGAAAATTACGAATTTCTGGAATGTTGAATCACCTGTTTAGGGCGTTAAATTTATTTAACCCATCTCCGTGTATCTTTGCTTTTTGCTCATAAACTGACAAACTGGCTTTCAGCACTCAGTATAATTTCCAACAAACAAGCAAGCTAGCAACCAACCAACCAACTTCTCGTTTTCGAGGTCGGGCTTCCCCTTAGCCGCCTTGCGGTACACCTATATTCCCTCCGCGGCGTATTCAAAGCAAACCCTTTCCACAGCGTTGCGAGCGGCTCTCGCGTGTACATAGGACACTCTTGTGGGCCCGCCGCCCTCGGCGCGGGCCGCCCTATACTTGCTCCTTCCGACCCGGGACCCTCGGGTCACCGTGTACATAGACGCGCTTCTTCCAAACTCTTGCCTATTGCCTGCCGCGCAGGCGCTATTGACTGTACATATTGGGGCTGAATACGTGTGTACATAACGCGACTCGCTGGTCGCTATCCTTCTGTTTCATATCTCGAATGCTTTTTCCAGACCGATTAATCGGCTTGTACTTAATCAACTTTCCTTAAAAAAAACTGAAAAAAAAGTTCTTGTGATACTTTACATTGCCGTCTCGCACCGTGTTCCTTCTGTTTTCCTCACCATCCTATCGGCGGCGTTCGCGAGTAAACGACAACCGTATCCCTCAGTCTTCAGACGTCGGACTCGCAGCATTCTGCGTTCGACCTTCTCTAAGGACGTTCGGCGTTCTTCCGAGGGTTCCACGCTCGAATCTCCCTGGACGATCTGCTCGCGATTCCCTTCTGGCCCGTCCGGTGTGCACAGGGGTCCAGCTGGGCCTCCAGGAGTGCCGTGCGTTCGCCCGTGCCGTCCGACGCTATCCGAAGGAGTTCCGCGTTCGTCCGGGAAAGAGCGGCGTACCCCAAGGTCGAGTCGGCGGGTCCTGAGGAGAGGTCGACGTGTTTCCGTGAAAGTACAGCAGTCGAGCTCTGAGTTGAAGTGGCGTCCAACGCCTCCGGCTCTGTGGACCTCTGCAATGAGAGCGTCGCTTCCCTCCTGCCCGCTCGCGTCCCGACTGCATCGCTGTATCGAGAGCCGCACTCGGCCGAGCGACTAACTCGCCCCATCTCGCGTGACTGCGTCGCCGCCGGTGCCCGGCCCCGCCCGATCGCCGAGCACCCCTCACGCCCACGCTGCCAGGACCTGCTTTGGAATCATGCGACCTGCGGCAGTCGAGCAATGGCTACCTCCGATGGCAGACTACCGTCGCGTTACTTTGTCACGTGCCCTGAACTTCTCGACCTTCTAGCTTATTGACAGGGTATGCACTTCTAGCTCCTCATCATTCCAAAATTCGGTTTCAAATTCGTAGATTTAGTATTGTTTCGTGGACTGATACATTTACTAATGTTATCCTTTTGCAGCATGCAGTATTTTCCGGTCTGGATTTCGTTTTAACAGGGATCCAAGATCCCATGAATCCAAAGATTGACCCTCCAAACCAACAAATTATGTTAGTATGTAAATTTCTAATCTGCTAACATATTCGCAGTATTCGGTATGTATTTATGCGTTTTTGAGGGATCTTATCTTTAACTTTCACGTTGGTTCAATTGTTACAATTTTGTAGCATGCTCTGTACTCGCAGCCTAGATTTCCTTCAAATAATGGCGCTTTTATCCAGCAATGTAAGGATTCTGGGCTTCAGCGTTCTAGTTCTACTTTTTACTTCGCGGAGACAAAAAGCCGGGCGGCATGCAGCTGTCGTTCGCTTGCGTGGCGGCAACATATGGTTATCAGAGGCGGAACACGCGACGCAGTGCACTTGGCGGAGATAAGAGTACAACTTTGACGCGGAAAACCCCTCCGTTAAATTGGCTGACTTCAGTAAATGCGCTATCTCTGGAAGGCGTGATTTTTTTTTAATGGTCAAATCGTGATTGTGGATCTATAACAGCTGGCGTAATAATATTATAGACTCTCAGAGAAGTGGGTCAATAATTAATGTATACAGACGTGACATATCTAAAGACTCGTATTTAAAATGTACGTTAGTAAATCGTGAACAATTTTTGTGTGCCTAACGATTATTTACAAAATTTTGGAACCGTAATTTTGTATGAGAGAGCGTAATTGCTATTGGATGTGAATCTGAAATTTTCTGAATGCAACATGGAATGTAATATCGAGTGATGTGAAGTAATAAATGGTTGCTGATTGTGATAACTAAGGATTAGATGTGTGCACGTATCTCAAACGCAAATTTCAAAAGCTGATATTTAGTAAATCAGATTCAGTGTTTTTGTGACCGTGTTTTTCAGAATGTGAGTGTGAATGTCAGGAACATCCCTTTGGCGAGTCTCGTACGTATTAATCCTGGATCCTTTGTAAGTCCAGGCTAAACAAAATGTCTCAGTGAGCTTGTTCTCCCTAAAAAGTGAGCGGCATGGACTCGCGTCGTCTTGGGAAAAAATTATTTTTTGTGCCGAGCACTTGAAGTGCATTATCTTGCATCGCTGCCTCGGGCCGCCTGCTCTTTCGGCCACTCGGAACCCCCGCTCGTCCCGACCGCAGCACCGGACCGGAAGGCGTTCGCGCTTCGAACCCAGAGTGCATCCGTGGTGGGGGGGTCTTCCAGCAGCAGAGCCGCGTTCGAGACCCGGGCGGATGCGTGGCGCTCGCGGGGGGCGGTGACCGAGGCAGGAGGAAGGGCAGCTGCCGCCGCCGGCCACCATGCAGCAGCTCCGGCGCGCGCTGTCCAGCGCGTCCCTGCGCGACCAGGGCCCCGACCCGGCCTTCGATGCGTGCAGCTACTTCGTCGACGACATCTGCGAGCTAGGCAAGTGGCCACGCCCCCGCGCGGCGCGGCGCGGCGCGCTCAACATTTCACCACCTCGGAAGGCGATTTTCTCAAATGTCGATGATGATCTTGTATATTCCGAAGGTTGTCGCAGCCAGCGTACAGGAGAGGGAGGACTTACACACCTTTTGCGTTCTCCCCTTTTCTGGGCTGCAGTGTTTTGGCATTGCATTCCACTTGATGACTGATGGCAGGATTGTTCATGAGGTGTTAATAATGACGACATAGAAAAGTTTAAAATAGCAAATTAAACAAAAACAACAACAACAAAAACATGGGCATCGGAATGGAGGTGAAAAAGGTTTGCTTCTTTTGTTGCTCCCTCCTGACTCATAGAATAGGTTGGTAAATCAAGGTTAGCTATAAATAATCTGCTTTCATATATTTTTTATGTTCCAATAGTTTAATTTTATATTTTATTAACTTGATAAAAATGATAGTCCAAAACTTATAATTGTAATTGGAAAGAATTATTTTTAGGAGTCTTCTTTCCGAGTGTACCAACTTGAAAAACACCTGACCGCACTGATATATAAAATGTATGTAGCAGGCATCAAAATTAGCTATGTGTTTTATTTTGCTTCAAAATTCACCCCAGGAGGAAATGCATAGAAAATACCAAAGTGAAAGTATCTTTTACTTCACCTCAGTGTGCCCTATGAGATAAAACTGGCAGAGAACCACCGAGCCTAATCCCAGTGCACCACAGAAGGTGTGGGGATAGGTGAAAGTTTCTCAGCATTTGCTGAGAAGTGTGTCAAATCGGTTTAATAAAAACAATGAAAATTTGTTTACAGCAGAATTAATACAAACTGCAAATGGTTATTTTATATTTAGCCCACATAAAAATGTATTTGTAACAATAATTAGCTGCAGCTTAAATTTGGTACCTCTAAATTCAATTTTTAGTGAAATAAAAGAACATTTGGAGAAAATATATTGATTTCAAGAACAAAAGAATGCCTCATATCTGCTTGTATTACATAAGGTCTTTACATAAAATTAATACATTACTGCCTCCATCACAAAATCAAAAGGTTACAAAGCTGCAATGGGAGTTTGCTCATTCAAACATCATATTTTTCCTTAGCGTAGAAAACTTCAAGAACTAATAATTGCAGACAAGCAGTTAATTGTTGCACTGTCAATGTCAACATCATTTGTGAGCCATCGAGTAATTAAATACCATCATAGAAGACTTACTTGCTTAGAAGAGACACCAGTCACATATCAAATTAGTACTTCACTTACTTACCACTATATCAATTTATTCTTCCAATAGCATAGAAATTGTGATTATTTTCCATAGTCCTGTGAATGTTCATTGCTTAATTGGCATATCAGTTGTAAATAGTCTGATTATTTTTAAACAGGCTAAGAAAACACCATTTAATGTGTCTGATAATGAATATATGAGTAATAAAATTATTGTTCTGTAAACATATCTTTCTGATATTACACTTGATATATTAGGTAGAATACATTTTCATAATGATTGTAAATACTACATCTTATTTTAAAGGACTGAACATAAGTGCTTTTTCAGAATTTGTTGAAATTACTTAGTGCATTTTAATTTAAAATTGTAATGTAAAACTATTGTCAGATTTTTTTAAATATTGTAATAAAGATAAAATAGTGGTAGCAATGAAAGTCGTTCAGTATAATCAGTTTCAGAATATAAGAAGACATAATCCGTTTCAAAATTGATATAGGTAAAATCAACGTCCGTCCTCACCATCAGAGACAATATGAATGAATACAAAATCATAGGGAAATGAATGTGGCTAGATGGTTACTAGGAAGGTCAAAGTGGAACAATTCACAAGAATGGTATTGTTTTTATGCTTTTAAGACTTATTCCTCTAGAAATAATTTTGTGTACTTGAATAATTTTCAGGTTGTTTTCAGCATTGGTTTATGAATGACTGTGGAAGACAAGAAATAGTATATATCAAAATTGCTAATCAGATTTCTCTTATAATCTAAAATTATTCTGATTTATATATTTTGTAATTTTTCTCATTAAGATTTCATCTTATGGTAGATATTCTGCATTGAAACAAAACTTGGAAAAAATCCTTATTTCTTTCTAAACTTTGACTGCCTCAAAATTATAAAGGAAATTCAAAATTAAGGTGTTGATTATAAAGATAAAATTAATAGGATAATTTTGAAAGCTTCATGTACCATAACATATTCATCCTAAATATTGCAGCATTATATATCAGCACTACAGGCTCACAGCTCCAATTTTTATAACTCTAATGTCATTTTATTAAATCTGAATAAAATAGTTGTAAAGGAGAAAAAAATGTAATGGGATTTTAGAGGAGAACAGTTTCAGTGGTTCAAGTTATATGGTAATTTCTCTGCTACATTGCATTATGTCTTCCATTAATTTTCATTTATTTTGAGGTATGTTACTTTTTCTTCAATGGCATCATCTCACTTTTACTCAAATTCACAATGAAGATAATGCTTATGCTAGAGTTTCTGGTGTTGAATAACTTACTGTTTATGTGAAAGTGTCTTATAATAAAGAGACATGGATATTTTGTCTTTTCTCTTTCAGCAGATTTTGATATTTTTTCCCAGTATTTTATAGTGATATTTCTTTGTGGAGAAGAGTATTTTTTGAATGAAGAGATAATGATTAGCCTCACTGACAGTGAAAAATTACTTGAAAATCTTAAAATAAGTTTTGAATAGAATGTATATTCCAGAATCTTGATAGAAGTTATTATTATAGATGACTCACAGAAGTTTCTGAGACTTGTAACCTTAATGTGAAAGGTTTTCTGAGATTATTATGTAATTGCCAGTCTTCAAAATTTACTAGAAATGAGTAACTAGTATAATGTAGAAAATACATTAGTCTAGAAATCCAATTTTGTTTGTATTAATACACTTTTGTTTAAAATATTTTCTGGAATACTTAAAATATAGTATACATTAACATTTCTCATCAGCTCATAAATCCTTATTTTTTATCAGAATGCATTGTATGAAATTTAAAAACAGAATATTTTGTCACTCTCTTGTATGGAATGTTTTGTATTTCAAACTTGATTCTTGGTATATTATCAGCATTTGGAGGAAAGTAACCTTCTTCTGTTAACACGAACAATATATATAATGGCTTTCTACTGCTTGGCCTTTTAGATACTTGTATTCAGCTATCATTCACAACTATTTAATGTTAATCACCAACTCTTATATTTGTATTCTGGATTGTGTTAGTTTCATTGGTATATTTCCAACTAGTTATTCTGTCCATTTCTGCTGCAAAATAATGAAAGAAGAATTATACCTCGCATTGTAGTGTGAAATGGACACTTAACTGTGTAGTTCCATAAGTAATATTATTTCATAGTTTCAATATTTCTGCTCTCTGTATCAGTTCATGTTTAATATACTTGTATGTATAGTTATTTTGAGATTTGATATGTACTTTCATCTGCATGTGATGTCTATCATAACTAATTTGTAGAGAAGTTCAGTTGTTGTTATTTGCAATTCATAATTTTTAATCCCTTGCAACAAAAGTGTATAAATAGCTAACAATTTATGTGCAGGCCCAGAATTCCACATTCATTGTGTTGGCTTAAGTTGCTTGATTTTTTAAATTTCATCAACATGATTCAATTTCTATAATGTTCAAAATTTCAAAATTTTATTTTCTTCAAAATGAATTGTGAAGGTAAATTGTAAAGCTTGTCATTCCTTTGTCTCTAAATATTTCATTATAGTATTTGTCGATATTATTAATTGTGTTTTCTGTTATATAACTAACTCTGCATATTTGTTTTATTCACTCTTACGGTAGAAATTGCCAAGTGGAAGAGAAATAACAATGAAAGAAGATCCAGTTTATCCCAGCTTTTTTATGAAGTGAAGTGTGCCATCAAGCAAGAATTCTGAACAGAAGTGTGCCATCAAGCAAGAATTCTGAACAGAAGTTTAATTGAAATGTATCTTCTATTTTTAATTTTTACATTGAAATGCATCTTAGTGTGATAATGAAGAAAACCATTTAAGTTTCAGCAAGGCAGGACAAGGCAAGGCAAGGCAAAAAAAAAAAAAAAAATATTTTTTTGATTTAATCTGAATCAAAATCCGTAAAACTGCTAAATAGTTACCATTTGTTAATACATCATAGTCATCATGAAATAGTTCTTCAGATTTTAGTCACCCTACAAATCCAAGAACAATTGTTTTTGTAAGTTTTAAAACGTGAGTTGAAGATGAGCATCATTATCATCCAAAATTTTGGACAGCAAGAAAGGGTTCTTCATACTGGCATCACTGGCATCAGAGGAGAGTTGTTCAGTTAAAATTTATTGAACTAATTGAAGGCAAGTTTCCATTTTAGAAAAGAGATACTCTTGAACAATCTTTCTTGTATAGTTTTAATTTATTTTGAATTCATGTTTCTGTAATTACCAATAGCACTGTTGCATATATCTAGCAATTTTCTACTTTGTCACTTCAAGAGATCATGTCAAAACAAAGAAGTGTTTTCAATACTTCACTCTTTATGTATGCATTTTATTCCAAGGATCATCTTTTCATTTTATTCATATTTATGATTTAAATAACTTTTTCTGATACGCAAGTCTAAACTTTCAGTAATACTTTAGAAGATTATCTGACATACAAGAGGAACTATGAAGCAGAGAAAAATATACTTGATTGAATCACATGGTTAAAGTCTGAAATTCTTGGATGTTAGCCAGGTTCTTGAGCAGAATTATCAATTCAATTAATTGACATCAAACAAATTATGAAGTAAACATTGAAGCAACTCCTTTAATAATATCTCTTTTGGATAATGAATGTTTTCTAACCATGCAAATTCTTCAGGTTTGTTTTGTTTTTTCATTTTATCAATTATTATTATTATTTTATTTAGTAGAATTATAATTTCTTTTTTTGTAATTAGCAACTGCCTGGTAGTTCATAACTGCTACAGTATATTGAAAAATACTCAAGTAATTATAAGAAATTAATTATGTCAGTATTTCATTGTCAGATTATTAGTTTATTCCAGTGTCTGAACTTTTAACATTGTGGTATTAGGATTCAAACATTTACTCAAAAATGAATTGTTGAAAATGGAAACTTCAAGATGGTTTTATGTTATTGTAAAATGAATTTAGAGGAGAAATGGTGAGACTGTAAAAAATATTCTTCAAAGCTCTCTGTGTGGGTTGGATCAATGCAAGCTGTTCAATATTTATTTTTAACAAAATTAAAATAACCTCTTTATTCTAGGGTCAAAGACAATTAGAACCTTCATCAAACTACAAAAACTGACATCTCTACATGTGGTATTCACCAGCAATGTCAGCCAGTTACATGTGTTTTACAACAACATTGTTACATTTCTGATAAAACAAAATGTGCTATCAGTATTTAATATAAAACATTAAATCTTATGAAGCAGGTAGGAATCTCAATTTCCACTTCTACTACCAATATTAGACTGGTGTAAATGTTGAGTTATAGGCTCGGAACTATATTTTCCAAGAAGAACTTGGAAAATATAGTTTTAATATTTAGTACTGTAGTATATGCAAAATGTATTTATTTAACTTAAAAAGTTATTACTGCGCATATCTTGCATGTAATAATATGTAAAGAAGAAAAAGGTTTTGATTATAAATTTTTGAACAATTTCTCTAAGTCTTCAATTATTATTATTATTATTATTATTATTATTATTATTATTATTATTATTATTATTATTATTATTCATGTCCGGTTTATTTGATATATTTGATTCTTGAGAGTTAACAACCTGGAAATGTCTACAAGCAAGTAAATGTCTGGTTGCAAATAAATACTAAAGTTCCCTTCCATGAAAATATTTTTAAATGTGCATTTAAGAATGAATTGTACATGAACAAGAGAAGAATGTCACCTGTATTGTTCATCTTGAAACATTGTGGGTGATAGAAAAGCCATTCATATAATTCAAGTTGATTCTGTCCCTACCAATATTTTTTATTTAATTGACAGTAATTTTCATGGGGTTAGCCATCATCGCCAGAGTTGCCACATGAATGTCAAGAATTCGACTAAAAGATGAAATCTTAACTTGAATTCATGACTTTCACCCAGTAAATTCGATGATGCTGTGTAAGTAATAGAAAACTGTCAATCAGTTTACCAGCAAAGAGGACATTCCCTTGAATGTACTCATGTACTCATGCAATGCCACCATCACCTCATCATCACATCAAGAAATTAAAATCCAATGGAATAATATTCGTGATTAATTGTTGTAAGAAAAATATTGAAGATGGAAATCATATATTTGCGATAATTTCCTTGTTTGGAATTTGATATGAATGTAACCTTCTGATGTTGGACAAATGAAATGGAATGGATAGTTGTGAAATCCAGTCAAAATAGATATTCATCTGAAGACACTGAGTTCAGATTGAAGTCAGCTCTCAACATGAAGATTTTATGCAATTATCAGAAAATACATTGAAATATGAGTTTCCAAATACTGGGCAATTTGATAATTTTGAAGTCGGCTCCATGTGAGAAAACTGTGATGTAGCAATGGGATGAATTTGTGTAAATGTAATTTTTATGTTTTTGAGTAATTTGAACCAAAATTCATGAAAATTCATTCCTTTCAGATGATATTGGAGTTCTTTTGCATTTTGACTTATTAGCAGTTCTGCACTTAATCACATATCATAGTACATTTGGCCATAGAATTATTTATTTACGTACACCTTTGACTTTTGAACAAAGTTTTTGATTTCTTTATCTGTGAATGCAGATAATGTAAAAAATCTTCAAGATTTTATTGAAAAATATTTATACACGTATATTATTTTCTCATGTTCATATTTATTCATCTATTTGTACAATATTTCAGACACCAGAAGACTTTTCAAATTTTGATAGTCATATTCTCAACTTAACTAAATTTATATTCACTATTTCTTATGGAAGAAAGTGTTTGATTGTATTTCTTATTCACCTCTTTAACATTATAAATACAACTACATAATTTAAAAAAAGAATAGTCTTCAGTATTTTATGACAGGAGAAAAATACCTATCTGCAAAAATAGAAGAAAATATCAAAATATTGAATATGATTCCAAGGTAATACAATTTTAATTTTATATCAGATATTTGAACCAAAACTATTATGTGCAAACCATATTGCCTTACAAATCATGAAGTTGATTCTTCTTTCTTACAAAATATTTTTAAAAAAGTATGTACTTGTCTGTCTGGAAGATTCTGCCTCCTAGGCACAGCTGCTAATGTTTCAGTTGTCATGCTGTGACCTTCCTCTGGGCAAAATGTGACAGTCGCAGCTTGATGACCAAAACATTGGCATCTGTGCCTAGGACATGGCATTTCCCAGACAGCCCACTATATACTGACTGTCCATGGAAGCCTACGCTTTTATTCAAAATTTGTATTTTATCATAATTTGATCTTAATGTGCATATGTTTATCCATTATGGTCTCTGTCTACAGTTTATAGTAGTATCCATCATTTATTTCATTGCTTTGAGCCACATAAACAATACTTTTTCTTTGCTTTGTAGTGACGTAAATAATTTCAATCCATGATTTGGAGTTCCTTTTCACTTGTAATAGTATTAATTCATTTATGCCTCTTTGATAACAATTGTTAAAGCAGTGCAAGATGTTTTCTGACTGAGCATAAATGTGATATTTGGATATTTTATTAAAATGATTTCCTTTTCATTTACATATTGGGGATAGATAAAACAATGTAAGACAGTGGAGAGCTAAAAAAAAAAAAAAAAAAAATTGTCAATGAGAATTACTCTCTGTAGCTAACATTGCCTTCAAGGCCGATCTTTCTCAAATCTGAATAAAATTTTATTTCACTCTCTTCTATCATAAATTATTACTTAAATTGTCCACCAAAAATGTACTGATTTCAGAGTAGTTTTTTCATTATTTATTGTGTAGCAGTAAGAATAAATCAGAATATCAACTGGGCCATCGTGTAAGATTGTACTTCTGATCCATTGAACAAATTATGTTTTTAACCATGAATGAATACTTCAGTTAGTGGTACGTGGGCAATATAGTATAGTTAACATTTATGTACTGGGCATGTGTAATTTTGTTATTGTATTTTAGAGTTGCGTAGTTTGTTTTCAATATTATTATTTGTATAATTATTAAATACATACAATTTTGAAGGGCTTACAATCGAGGAGAACTACAGCATTTAATTTTATATCTAGAAAGTGATGAATAGAAAAGAGAATGATGGTTATCTTTCAGTAACCAACAATAAATATGAGTTACAAATATTATTGCACAGAGCAATATTAAAAATTATGTCTGCTTACACCAAATTTTGACAATTTAATTTGCAGGTAACTTATGACTTCAAGGTTTGATTTCAAATGAGAACTAGTAAGTTGTAGTAACCATTATAAGCTTTTATCATCAGTATTTTCTCTATTTATTTTTTAAAGATATATTTTATACTACTTTTGCTTCAGTAGATCAACAAGTGTGGTAATATCCTTATTTAATTTGTTAATACTTGTTTTTATATTGCCAGTACATAAAAGTGTCAAAGAATAGAGAATTTTAGTAGCAAATGTTTGTTATTAATGTGCACTAAAACAATATTATTTTAATTAAAAATGCTTAAAAATGTCTTTTTCAGCTTGTTAATTTCAGTTGCCTCCAACTGATCATAATTTTTTTTATTTTAAAGAACAAAAATCCAAGTTATTCTTCACAATTAGTTAATTTCTTTTTATGATATTTGGGCTCATCAAGAATTTTCATCAGAACGCAAGGTATCTACTGAACCTCTTTTCAGTTGTTATTGTACCCCATCCTTTTTTGCATTGAAACATTTATCTTTGTGAGTAGTTCAATACAGCCAATAGATTTATTTTCGTTCTTTATAATGCTTATTAAAAATTGTCTCAGCATTTAGTTTTACAGGAACTTTTATTACTATGTTCTGACAATTTTTGTAATCTGGAATGTGACATAAGGAAACATGAGATTTTGAATGGAATGATAATATTGGTATAAATTACGGTAATTATTTTGAAAATAGATGTATCACTAGAATTGCATTGAAGTTCTTAGTGATTATAATCTTATTACAGGGGCGGATCCAGCTAATCATTTTTGTGGGGGCCATTACAGATTTTTGTTAAATTATATACATATTTATTATATTGTATATTATTTTTTGTAGTGTATACATGATACTATACAATATTATTGTTTAAATAATTACATAATTGTAACATAAATAAATATTTAAATTATTTTTGCCAAATAAGGGAAGGTAACAAACAAAAAATCTAAGCCTTGGAGGGGAGGGATCCGTCACTGTCTTAATAGCATTAATGAATATAGGAACTGTGTGGTCAAATAAGATTTTTAATAAAGCGTTTTGCCATCTCCAGAATTCCCGAATGTTAGAGCAGAAAAGGGGTAATCATTGGCATCTATTTGATCACACATCATCCTCTTCAATAATTCACTTAAAGCATAGTTATTCATTGTATTTTATTAGCTGTTGTGGTTGTAGTAAGGGTAGTTCATACTGTATAATGAAGATTCCTTAAAATTAATTTCCGCATTGCTACAATTTTTATTCAGTGAAGAAAATCAAGAAAGTTCAGCAAGAGAGAAGACAACATAATGATGCAGTGATTTGTCTAGGAAATTCGCCGAGTCAGCAATAAAAAAACAAACAATTCTATTCTCAGAAGGTATATAGCTAACACTTTTTATTCCATTTTCTCATTAGCGTTCATTGCTGTGTTAAGTGTTTTTTTAGGCCATTGCTTTAAAAATAATACGATAATGATATCTCTTTGCAGTTTTGTGTCGTAGGTTTTAGTTGTGAGGAATCGGAAATTTCTTGACTTGAAACACAGATTGCAAGACAAGAAAACCTGAAATTTATACAATGTTATCCTTGCTGTGTGTAGATCTATGCGTAATTAGCCTTGTTTATAATCTTCAGAACTCGTTCAGTGACTGTTTTAGTCGTTAAACTTTAGTTTGATAATGCTGGAGTCTACAAAAAGAACGGAGCTAATCGCAAAAGTGTAAAATTCTTCCGAAGCGTGGATTGAGTAACGTTGAATGTAGTCAATTTCAATCAGCGAATCTAGAGGAATTCAAGGAGAGAAAACTTGTTAAATTCGAGGGCTCAAACATCGCTTGTATAGCAGTTCACATTAGTAGAACTATCGCTGGCAACGCTGAGTACAATGTTCTCTGCACTGCCTGCAAAAGTTCTACAAAATGTTCGAATATATAGTTTTTCACGTCCTTAAAGTGCATGTGTGCGCTAGGTCCATCGATAAATAAATAATTAAATAGATACTTAAGGTCGGATCTTCCCATTCCACCATTCCACCATTGTGTGCCTTGCAAGGCATCATCATGCAACAGGAAGTCCTGACTCTTGACCGCACCTCGCTTACATTTTGTATTCAGCTCTTCTCTCGGGCGTTGAAAGAGCTGCCCCCTCGTGTCGTTCGAGCAGATAAGATTAGAGCAGCACATTTGCCATCTTGGATCCTTGGCAATTAGCTGCAGTAATGCGTTTCTGCTGTAAACATTGCATTGTACAACGTACATGTTGATAAAAAAGAATAATAAGCAAATATTTTTTGTCTAAAAATAGTATTTTAGTATATCTATTATAAAATTTCTGTACACAGGTATGTGCTCTATTTGTTTGGTCACAAAAGAAAACAAGTATTCAACTGTATTCCAAGTTTGATTTAGATAATATTATCAATAAATAATACATATTCAAAGGGAAAACGATCTATTATTGTTCGCGTTTCATAATGCATCATTGCCAGCAGCTGTTCGTCGAGAGCTCAAAATGGCGGATGAGAAGAGACAAACGTGTCGTGCAGTAGCAGCGTATGTGCGTGCTGACGGAGGGCCGTTTGTGTTGCAGATGCGAAGGAGTCGGCGCGGCAGAGCTCGCACCACGCGCTGCGCGACACGTGCGCCAACGGGGACGCGGCGCTGGTACGCGCTCTGCTCCAGCAGCTGGGCCCCGAGGCCGCGCTCGTCGTCAACATGGCGCCCAGCGGCTCCAACACCCTCCTCTTCATGTGAGTACGCTACTCCTCTCGGATGCCAAGTGGACGATTGCTCCAGGGACCGGGGCGAGTTGCTGAAACGATGACCGTCTTCGCTTCCGGAGCCATAAATCCTGAGAGTGTTCTTGAAGTATTTTTTTTTCTTTCATTTGAACATTTCGAGATGTGGAAAACATAAATGAGGCGCTTAGACGATTAATCGGGTCCCTAGCAGGGGTTCTTCCTGCAGGGGACAACAAACTGTTGGGAATGACGATATCTAGCATTCCCCCTTCTATCAATGTAAATAAAATTCACTTTTTCATTGACGTGAGCCTGCAATGCGTGTGTTTCTACCCGAAAAATCGACGGTTTTCGCTGCAGCATAACACGAGTCTACATACTACGTGTGTAATATGCAACAAAGTAAAAAATATCTCCTCTGTGTGAACTATTGCAAGTTCTACTTGACTCCATGACACTTTCTAGTATTCTTTTACATAGTGGTAATGAATGGTGATAAAATACAGTGATAAAATAATGAACGTAACTTGAATCCCGTAGAGCTCTCTTATCCTTCCTCCGTGGTAGTTCCGTCGTTTAGTTCACGTACCTGCTTGTAATTGCTTATCGCAAACATAGTAATACGATGTTTGAGCGATGAAAAATCGAATCAGATATCCGATTATTAATTGGTTGGATTTTCTGATGCTGTTAATAGATTTGTACTTATTATTTATGACGAAACGCATGAATTAGGGCTGGTGAGCCTTCAAGAAACATCCATAAACGTTTCTTGCAAGGAAAGGAGAATTGAGGGACCTTATATGTATATTTCTGGTAATATATTTTACTAGATACCCCTTCAGCCGTGGTAGGTTGCGCGTCAGACAACAATGTGGCGTGAAGAGAAAAGGAATGCCAGTTCTACAAGAGATTTTAGCAAAATATGCGAATGCCAACCTGGGAATCGGCGTGATGAATGCCGTCGGTTCAATAGAAAAGTGCAGGAGAAACAAATTACATTGTTCGTCCATAGAGCATTCACTTTTTACTCTTCTAACATTTCATGCAAGTTTGTTCCTCTTCAAATTATTTCTAGTGCATTCGGTTTGGAAGTTCAGGTGGTGAGCCAGAAATTGTTATTAAAAATAGATTACGAAAGAGAAGGGGAGCGCGAGTACTGAATCGTTTGAAGGTCCAATGGCCCTTGGATCCGCCCTGTTTAATTTTGACTCGGAAGACCAGGTCGCACGTACTCGTGGGGTAGGATATCACCCTTGTCGCGATCTACGCGACCACCTGGGTCTTCATTTGATCGCAACGAAAGCGTCGAACAAAACATCATTTCCCACCCCCCTCAGCGCCGTTAAACGGAAGCATAAGTGCGGCGGAATGAGAAGGAACGCCTTGGGCATCTGGGGCGTTTTCTCTCGATGGCGCGCAGCGGCTACGTTCGCCCCGCCTCTCCCAGCACGGCGTTTCTCTGGACGGGTCGGCGCGGGGTCCAGCCTCCCCCATTTGCTTCGTGACTCGACCATCGACACGGCACTCGAGCATCAACGATGTGAAGCCGTCGGAGTTCATTATTGCGTGTGAGAGGGATGCAGATGAAAAGCAGTGGGAAGCTGATCGAGGTAACGTCGGGTAAAATCCTAATTGACGGTACCAACTTACACAGGTGCCGCTACAGGCAACTTCTGACTCTTCTATTCTTTGTTGAGAAACGTTCTTATGGAGTAGTTTTGCAAGTAAGAATACGGACGAAAAAACATTGCTAAATTATAGACAAAGACCTTTTGATAAACACAATTGTGATTTCTCGATGCTTTAAAAACAAATGGATTTTTAAAAAAATGAGATGTGCGTAATAAAAACAAAAACCGTTAAAGAAACCTGAAAGAAATTTGCGGAGTAAATATTTTCATTGGCAGTTATTTTCTTTATCTGTAAAATTCTTTAACTGCATCGAAAGTCGAACTTGTTATGATGTCAGTTCTTTAAAGTATTGTGCACACCAATAAAATGTCTCAGTTCATTGAGGCTTTAGTGATTTGGTTGTGCACAAATGATAAAATGTAATAGAAAAAGAAAAGAAAAACGGGATTAAAACATCAAAAATTTTGTTTCTTAAATTATTTGAAATATTTAATTTATTTATTGACCCATTCCATAAGCATTTTTGTAGAATGATTTGTAATTTAAGAACCAGAAGAGAAGAGAAGAAAAGTAGTAATAACTTAGTGGTGTGCCTATAAGTGATTATATTTTTCTTCTGTAATGGAAAAGACAGATTTTTTAATTGTGGATTATGTTGAAAAGTCTAAGAATACATTTGTGTATGAGATAAGTGAAAAGAGGATGAGTAAACTTAAGAAGCTTACTTCATAAATCATCAGGTTGACACCACTTGCAAGAACTATTAGAATCCGGAGTGAATAAAGAAAGTAGGTGAATGACTTTAGTGTAGCTCTTCAGATTGTGATCTAGAATAAGTAAAAGTACTGAGGTAGAAACTCAGCTGTGAAAGTGTGTGGTGGAAGTGGGCAGCTTTATAACAGTTTCATTCACTAGTAGGAATGAAGAGCTTGTTGAGACTTGTGTTCTGTAGAGAGGCATTCTGATTTGTGAAAGAAGAAAACATTTAGTGTAGTGATTTGTTCAATGTAGTTTGTGTGTGGCAGGGCGTGTGAGGCAGGTCGAAAGGAAATCGTCAAAGTGCTTCTGGACCATGATGCTGATGGAAGGATTCACCCCGTTACCAAATACTCACCTCTATACATCGCCTGCTACAATGGACGGAAGGACATTGTTGAAATGCTTCTCAAAGTGAGTCTTCTTGATTGTGCAAAGTTTACCAATTATGTTCTGTTGTAAGAAAGTTAGGGTGTATAGTAAACATTTTTTATTCATAATTTTTTTCTCCGGCATTTTACTATAAAAGTGATAACAAATAAAATATTCCACTTACATTTGTTACTGATAATATTGCTACTTAATAAAGAAACAAAAAATTCTTGAAAGATTTTAATGACTTGAATATCTTTGATGGCTACATATTTTTAGTTCTTTCAGGTGTAATAAATATAAATAACACATTTTATTTTTGGCAGAGATTTCCAGAGCTGATACAACAACACACTGTAGAGCGGTGGTTGCCAATTCATGCATGCTGCATCAATGGCCACACACATGTCATGGAGCTCCTGCTGAAGTATCCCTATCCACCTCACCTCATGCAGAAATACAGGTGAAATATTGTTCATTAACTTATAACATACACATTAACATTAACTAAGATTATGAGAGACTTTTATCCACTTTAAAAAATTACTGCAAATTTGTTTTACATCATTTTTTCTTATATGAATTGCCTCCATATTTAATTTCAAATAATAATATTTTTGTTTTCTGTTTGCACAGAGATCCTAGTGGAGATTGGGAATATGAAATGCCTTTTGATTTGAACATGAAGGATGTAACTGGCCAAAGTGCTATTTATGTCGCATCTCTCCTCGGAAATTACAAGATGGTTGACCTTCTTCTCAAGTTCCGTGTGAAAGCGATAAGGATAAAGGTATATACATTTTTTTAAATCTGTAAAATAAATGTTTTAACAGAGTTGTTTCATTTTAATTTTATGTTGTAATTTAATTGTAACAGTGTTACTTATGTTTTCTTCTAATTCAATTTTGTTTCATTTATCATTTGTGTAGAGCATTAAGGAGAAAGAAGCAGAAGAGGCTAGTGACCAAGCGAATGCCAATGATATTGTGAGTCCAACTCGTAGGAGAATATCTGATGGCATTCAGTCCATCATGGCCAGATTAAATTTACGCTCTGGAGAAACTCAAGGTGAAATTGTCTGTATTTTGAACTCTGCATGCTGCCATTAGATTGCTCGTAACATGAAAACCATTTTTAATTTTCGTAGGTCTCCACTCCTAAAACAAAAAAAACAACAAGTTTTTTCGAAACAAATTCCACAATTACCATTTGTTCATATTTTGGTTGTTGAATGTTTGAAATAATTGTTTCTTGCAATGCACTTTTTAAAGGATTTTCTTTGGTATCCTGTGGAGTCCTAATAAGACAACAAAATTTTGTTTTGTAAATAGATTAAATCACAAACATTGGAAACCTTGTTTCTGGTTGCAAATATAAAATCTTTCTTTATTGTATGCATAGGTAAACTCCGGTTCTTTTGAAGAGGTTTACTGATTCTGTGTCAATATTATTTTCATTGTGATGGTGGTTTGAAATGATTGCAGGACCTGTGCGCAATGAATGTATGCTGAGTCCACTGCAGGTGAATGTGTATTGTAACAACAACAGTGAGACTCCTCTTCATGCAGCAGTTAAGGGAAAACATTATGAAGTTGTTAGTGCATTGCTGCTCTGTGGGGCAGATCCTAATATGTCCTGTCGGCCTCCAGAACAGGTTAGCAAAAAAATAGTGGTACAAATTGCAACAGGTATCTGAAGAGCAAACCTAATCTGTGTTATCTTGTCTTTGGTAGGTGTCCTCTCCAGACTGTGAAGATGCTGGCAGTTCAGTGGGGTCTGTGTCGACAGCACTAGTAGAAGCCTGTAAGAATAGGGACATAGGCATGACAGACCTCCTTTTGCGTCATGGTGCCCGGGATGACGACTGCAAAGCACTGAGAGTAGCCACTCACAACCATGATGATATTCTTACTGCTAAACTTCTGTCCATCAAGGTGAGATTTATCTGTGACTTTGACTACTTACCATAAAAAGTTATGTACCAGTAAAAGTTATGAAAACAACTTAATACACAATCAAATAATTCATACATTTAAAATATTAATATTTTTGGTACATTTAAAACTATAAAGACATTTTTGTTTTGTAATCTACAGATCAGTTTTTTAATTGAGCATTTACTATTTAAATATTTATTAGATGATTAAAAATGCTTCATTAAGATGAAAAATGTCAATAGTCGTTAATTTGAACAGACCTGAAAGTTGTATCGCCTTGATCATTCAATGTGTTGTGCAAGTCTTAATTGATCAAACAGAGTTCAAAACATGATTGCAATCCTAATTTTCAATTTTAATGATAGCTTCTTTAATTCTTCCCAATTTTAAGAATGCATTGAAAATCATCCTTTGAAGTCTGTCAGGTTTTTGTTAACCCCCCTTTATTGTCTCCTGTTTCAGGCATACCCAGACCCAGAATACAGACTCAACAAGGCAGCTATGACAGAAGAAGGACTGCCACAGGTGGGGCACCTAGGAATCAGCAGCCTCACATACAGTGCCCTTTTCCCCAACACAGCAGTCATGGTTAACTGGCACCACCAACAATGTGAATTGGCAGAAGTTCGCAAACAATGGCTGGTGAGTTTTGCTCACTACATTTTCCCTTGTTTATCCACATCTATGCTCATCAAATAACATTCATTGAATAAATATCAATATCAGTCTTTCATTCTCATCTGTGAAATGAATTTTTTTGAAAGATAAACATTTTTGACAAAACAGGAAAAGCACATTTAGTGCCTTAAAAATCACAAGATTTTGGCATTTAAAAGACATCTTAAATAACGAGTTACTGTTCATCTCGAAAGAATTTTAATTTAAGTGATTAGGTGGAAGAGCAGGCATGATTGCCTGAGCCTAGTTTTTTAAATGAAGTTCTTCAAATGAAATCAGCAACAAGAAAAACATGTCTATATTGAACAATTCAGAATTACACAATTGCTCATCTTCATTGATTCTGTAAATACAGATATAACCCTGTAAGTTGTGTAGACTGTGTAACTGACTATTACAATTTCATCAAGTAATTTCACTGTTTAATCATACTGATATGGAAAACATGTACTGTTCAATTTTTTGCACATTGGCTATATTCATATGACATATTCAGTACATATTCTACTCATTTGCCTTTTTGTGAAAAATTCCAATTTCCATTATGGCTGAAAAACACCTTTGTAACTGTGAATTTTCATTCAATATGCAAAAATATTGCACATTTAAAACCAGCAACTTATGAAAGAGCAAAATGGAAATGTCAAATTATAAATGCAGTTTTAGCCAGTTAAACATGTCATACAGAAACGTCATGAAGATTTTATTGTGAAAGCAAACATAATCTTCAATGAGTGGAATTTGACAATGTGGAGAATCACCATCATGAAACCGACAGTTTATCTTACTGCCTGTTACTAATAATTGTATAATCAGATCAAAAAGCTATTGGAAATTGGTAAAGAAGACTTCCATAGACTGTAAATTATGACAATAACCAGCATTATTGTCTTGTGTGAAAATCTCTTTGTAAATTTCATTGTGCTTAAATCTTGAAATTTTACAACAGCTATTTTCATTACAATACCAATAAATCTGTTATTTACTTGTGCATTTCTGTTTCACCTCTGGAGTCCTTTAATATTAGTCATAAATATAATAAGATTCTATGGAATTCTGAATAATTCAATCAGGTTCAGAGACTGTGATGTGTCAGTCTTGTAGTGTACTGTACATGAACAAGGTGAAGTGTAACTTGGAGTTTATTTTTTCAGATTGACGCTGCTCTAACTGTGAATCCAAAACTGAAGTTAAATCCAAGAAATCAAGATGTTGTATTGTTTGCTGTCACTAGAATTGATCTTTCTAAAAATGCTCTCACCTGGTTGCCTCTTGTCTTGTTTCAGTTACATAGTTTAAGGTAGTTACACATTAAACTAAAGTGAGAATGTAATATGAAACTTTTGTATTGATGAGAATTATGTAATTTTATTTTGTCCTTTTCAGATATTTGAATGTTGCCCAAAACAAAATCGAAAGACTGCCTATTAGGACTGACAAGGGAGGACTAGCCTCTCCTGCCAAGAAAAGTGGTTCAAAATCCAATAAAACTACTGTTACCAAGACTGGCTACACCGCTCCGGTTTTAGAAGAACTGTATTTGCAGGTATTTTTATTTAAATGTTTAATTTCACACACTTTGAATTTGATTGCAGATAATTATAAGATTTTCAATTGCTGAATGGCTGAAAAAAATGTGTTATGTATTATAAATTGCTTCTCAGGAGTTGGCCATTAATGCCATTATTGAATTAATTGGCTTTATATTTTTATTATATTTCATTTTTTAAATTATGATTTGTGTACTATTTATGTGCACCTTTGTTACTGAATATTTCAGGATTTTACTTTGCTCTTATCAGATATCGTAATTTTAGTGCACTATCTTTTTACAGGATAACCGGTTAGATCAAATTCCTGAGGATATATTCCAGCTCCCATCTTTAGTCACTTTAGATATCTCCAACAACAAGCTTCAAACATTACCGTATAATATGTGGAAAGCTCCAAAACTAAAAGAACTAAATGCTGCATTTAATTTGCTTAGAGAACTTCCATCCAACCCTCCTGAGGTAAGAGTATATTTTTCTTATGTTTTTGTTTTTAACTGTTTGTAAAATTGTAAGCTATTTTTCTAAAATGTGTAACATATTGTGTTTAATTAATTAATTTAATAATTTTCAGATTGCCTGTGATGTTCAAAGTCCAGTTCATAGTGAGAAAGGTTCATCATTTGCCGATAGTGTGGAAAACCTGGAAACAAGTTGCTCAGAAATATCAGAAGATAGTACATCGGTTAGCGAAGATCAGTTGTTGGATGCTCGAGCGCTTCATGCATCTTTTATAAAGACCAAATCTGTTCAGTAAGTTCAAAGAAAACAACAGTTACTTTTGAATTAAAGTATGTATGCTTATTGTAGGTGTTAGATAATTGTGGTTGAAAAGAAGGAATCTTATCTCTGAGAGTTCTCCAGCCACATTTCATTGAATTCACGAATATGCACATGGTATTAATCTCTTATAGTGATCTACAAGTTTTATGACCTTGTTTTGAATGTGAGTGTTGAAAAGTGGTCACAGGACTGACATTTCAATTAATGCAAGATTTATGAAAATAGTTTGATTCTGAATCTCATTTAATTACAAATGTAAAACTTTATAAAGGCTCATGATATATCTGCTTATGCCTTGCATAAAAAAATCATTAAGAACAATATTTGAATAAACATATTTGTTCATTTTCAGGCACCTTGACATCCAGCATCACAACATTTGGAGCCGCAATGTTGAGGTGACTGAGCAGATTCCTCATGCCGACGGGGAAGGCCAGGAGAATTGCTCTCAACTGTCTTCTCTCAATCTCGCCCACAATCAGTTCAGCTGTGTCCCTCCAGCCCTGCCCTGCCTTGCTGTCAACCTCACCCGCCTCAACTTAAGTTACAACAGGTGTGTCCACTGCTATGGTGGAGGTTGGGGAAGGTGTCTGCTTATTCTGAAACAAACTGCTGCTTACTGCTTCCTGGCAAATGACATAAATAAACAAGAATGTGTACCAAATTGTTGTGTTTTTATTTTGTTTTATTAAAGTTAAATAAGTAATACTTTCTTTCCTTTTTTTTCCTGTAAATAGCTTGACAATGCACATTTTTTCCAATTATTTCTGATAACATTTAATCACAAATGCTTGTATAGTATTTTATTGGTGCACGAAATTTCCCTTCCACTTTTTCCCAATGGTTCCCTTTTTGATTTTGCACTAACATTCCCCCTTTAACACATCAAAAATGCACCTCAAAGCTTGTATGCTGCTTCTAACAACAAAAGTCCTTTGCCTCTGCTCTTGTCACCCACATTTCCAACTGTCCGAATTTAAGGATTTATTGTATAATAAAAAAGACGGTGTTTGCTACTAATGAAATGATAATATACCAAATTATCAAACATTAATAAACTCTTGTAATTTGTTCACAACAGGTTACTGATATATTATTAAATTGTTCTTAGTATGTATTAATATTAATTCTAGTTATTAATGAAATCAAATCATCATCATTATCATCATCATATTCTTGACATTCCACTCTCGAGGTGTCATGTTCTACGTATGCCTACTCTTAACTTTTTCATGTCATCCAAAACAAGTAATGCACTTTCTGTGACCTGTGCTATCAATTCAATAAAGAATATGGTGTTTATAGATTGCAGAAAGGTGCCAATAACCTAAAGAAAAGAAGGAAAAAACTTGCCAATGAGAACATATGCAGCTAATTTAGTGGGAATGCATGTTGGATCAGAAAAGTGGTAGTAGGCTTGAAGGATTAATAGAATTCAAAAAAGTATGGTACTTGGGAGTAGAAACGGATTTTGTTTTTCCACCGAAATCAGCAAAATTATTCTGCGACTTTAATGTTGAATTAGAATTTTTTTACACTTATCCTGTAGGAGACAGTTTCCTACTTCCAGGTCAGAAACAATAAAAATCAAATTTATTGTATATTACAGTCATGAAATATGGCTATAAGTCATATTTTATTAACACCCTTTCTGAAACAGTGAGATAAGTTGTACTTTACAAAAACAGGGGCTGGAGCAAAAATGAACTTCAGAGGAGAGAAAAAAAAAGATCAAGCCATAGAAAAATTCTCTTGTTGAACTGAAACACTGGATTGGTGTTTTAACACATTTATCCTGACGTTCAACCTTTGAGACTAAATTGCAAATGATAGTCAATAAATTTATGTGGCTGGAAGCTCAACTCATAATATAGATTTGTTTAATGCTCACTAGGTGGAGTGTACACTTTCCTCCAATGTATGACCTTTTTTCTCATTACTCCAAGTTCTCATATGTTTTCGTAGTAAAGAATTGTTAGATTTGTTTTATAATGGACTGTAGGAACATGGCCATGTTTGGTGACCTTAAATGATTTGTTATATGATATTATGAAAAAGCATACTCATTCTAATGTTTTCTGTCAAGCAATACTTATCTGTTTCATGAAAAATGGTTTTCAGTTTTTAAATTAGATTTTTAACACCTTTCTTTGTTGCTGTTTGCTTACTGATATCAAAAAGTAATGACTGTTTTCATGCAATGTGATTTTTATAATTTAAGTTATATTATTTATCAGTGAGTTAAATCAAATTAAACATTAAAGGACAGCATTATATCCCCCAAAAAACAGTACCGGTACAGTTGGTGTTGGTGCATGTGCACTACTATAAATCAATCTCCAAATTAGTCCCAGTGTTGGGAAAAGGCACCAAGGGAAGCACACCATCAGTAATAAGAATTGATCTTCATGTAATTTAGTTGTAGAGGGTTTTGAAATAACTCTATCATATCTACTTTCTAATTAATAGTATCCTTATATGTAGTTCCAAAAAAGTATTTCAAATTCTTATTTCCAGTGAATGTTCAACAAGAAAAGTAGAAATATATTGAATTAAAGACTTGTTGACTGGTGAAAAATAAAATGTTTTTTTAGGACATATTTAGCTGATGAAAGTGTAGGCTACCATGGCCAGAGACAAGAGATTCATGGCTCTCCAGTCGTATCCTAGGCACAGTTACCACACCAGTTCGGCAACTGTGTCAGATGCTGTGTCTCCAAGACAGCCAACAATCTGTAATTAGCTGAATTTTATTTGAAACCTTAAACAGAACAGAAAAGTTTGGAAGAAACCTTAACCTTAGAGTTCGGAAGAAGAGTGCAAAAAACCTTAAATAGAACAGAAATTCACAAACTGTGGGAAGTTCACTAGACATGGGTAGTGACAATACTGGCAAGTGCTTAATGAAGAAGATCAAAGGCGAAAACCTTTATCCTAAGTAACTTATAAGTTACGAATGTTTATTTTTAGGTGATGTCAGAAGTAATTTTCAGTATATCATTAACTTAATACTAAATACTAATTAATAGATATTATTGATGTAGTAAATAAGTTTCACAAAGGAGTTTAAAAAGGAATGGTTTTCCCTAATACTTTCAAATTGTTGCTGTTGAAAGTAGTCACAATACCTTCAAAATCAAATTGTACATCAACATGACCAACAAGTGCAAAACACAGAAAACTATGTATGGAGACATGATTTTTAATTTGAATCCTAGAATCATGTATGGCTCTGAAACACGGGTAATGAAAGAGACACAAGCAAAAACTACAGACGGCATGTATGAGATTTCTAAGACACCTCATGAGAATCAGAAGAAGAAACAGAATGAAAAATAAAGGCATCAGAAAGAAATTGAAAACTAAAGTTTTAGTACAAGAGATAGAACCATTTCAAAGAAGATGAAAAAAATCATTTAAAGAGAATAAACAACAGCAGATTTCCAAAATTAAACTGGAAGTACAAATCAAGAGGGATCAGAGATAGAGGCAGACCACTAAAAAGTTGGCAACATCAGGAACACTGGGAAGACCAAGAATAATCTACCACGAATACTGCAATGAACTAATAGAAACAGACTGAAAAACACAAATTTTTGCTAAATTGATGATGATGGTGAGTTAAATTGCAAAACATTCTTCAGTATAACACATTTGCCTCAAGGGATAACAGTCTATTTGAACAAACTTTGACTAAACACTGTATATTGGACAACCATATCTGTCTTGTCTGTCACTCTTTACCTCTATACACATTATGGTTTTGGAAGGTGAATTCCTCTTAGACAGCTCAACTGAATTTATCAATTTTTAGGTGGGCAAGTTGAGGCCATACTTACGTTTTTATCATGTCATTTTGGTTGTCAGCTATCAGTGGATGGTAATAATCTTAGATGTAATAAGTAATGAAATGTTTGCCTGTTCTCCATGGGATATTGAACCTGATTGCCAACCATACATTCGTCTTGAAAGGTACTTATGAAGTAATCTGGATAAATTTCTTGGGAAATGTTCAAATACTCTTGGGAACGTTTCAATTTTATTGATTTGGATATTTCAGATTGTGAAAATTATAACGAGGCATGTAAATATGGAATAACTGTGTCTCAGGCAGGGACATGTTACTACTTTTCCAGTATGACATTCAACTCTCTAGGGGGGAAGTGATATCTGATATCCCCCAACCACCATCAATTCACACCCTGCACAGGCAGATCGCGGCCCAACTTAGGATCTTATTACTAGAAGCCAAATGGTTGTGAACATTTTTCATTCGTCACATGCCATTTTTACTTTCTTATTATTTTTTAATTGATAAACAAATTTTTAAAAAATTACTCAGGAAAGTCTGGATTCAACACTCATCACTTTTGAATCATCAGATTTTGATTCAGCTTCTTGATCCCAGCAAAGTGAGTGGGTGACCCTAATTGTCGTAAAAGCCTGTAATTTGGAATTTAAGTCTTGCTGTACCACATTAACAAAGCATTGTTTCAATGATAAGTTATTATTGCTATTTAGCATTTGTGAAATTCTTTGGAAGCATCATAAGTACATGATTCTAATGCTGTGCTGATTTTTTTCAGTTTGAGGAGCATGAGTCACATTACATCCTATCCTGGCACCTTAAAACAGTTGGACTTATCCCACAACCAAGTTTGCTGTTGGCCTAGTCTGCCCCAGATAGAGTGCTTGGACAGTGCTGAGATTTCGCATACAGTATGTTATGCACCAAGTGAAGGAACGCTTGGATCTAGGTCATCTACCAAATTACCTCCTTCACTGCCAGGAAGACGATCTTTGCGCTCAGCTATTCTGGCTAGTCTTTGTGTACATAGGAGACATTTGAGACTGGATAGTTTACGCACGTTAGTGCTTGCTGACAATAAATTAAGCAGACTGCAATTATCAACAGATGATGATGGTGCAAGTTCTGTGTCAGAGGACGATGACAACGAATGGGTTAGTTACAAACATATGGAAAAAAATATTTTGGAGAAAGATACATAATAAATTTAGTTTTAATTTAATTTATCTTACATATACAAATTTCCTAATTCTTAGTCTACAGTATGAAAATTTACATAAAGTGTGTTTTCCTTTTATTGTGAACTTTCCTTTTTTTAATAGGATGTTCTGAATCCTGCTGCGAATCAAAGTAAAACTCGACTTATGTTCCCCAATCTCAGTATGCTGGATGTAAGTAACAATCAGTTGCGTGAAGTGCCTCACAACATCCATGAATTAGCCAATCTCTCAGTTTTGAATGTCAGTGGAAACTCAGGCAAGTACAAAAACATTTCCTCTTTTCAATACAAATTTTTAATTCAATTGAATTTCTATGCCAGTAATAATTCAGATATTTCATCAACCTTCATTGCAGTTTCTTTTTATGTAATTGAATGCTTTGTATGCCTCTTAGATGTGAGTGAATTGCCTCCACAAATGGGTCTTTTATCCCGACTTTGGAACTTGAACACTCGTGGCTGTAGTTTACAAGAACCATTGAAATCCATGATTGATTCAAAAAAGTACAAAACTATGGATGTGATCGGATACCTCAAGTCTGTTTTGGAAGATGCTAGACCATATGCCCGCATGAAACTTATGATTGTTGGTGTTCAAGGAATTGGAAAGACATCATTACTGGAACAGTTGAGACAAGAAGGAGTTGGATCTTACAAGAAGAAGCCTGTTGAGGTATATATTTATTGTTTTCCCGTGCCTCACAAAATGTTGTGATAATTTTGAAACACTATCAAAATCAAAAATGAGTGTTATGAAAGAGAAATGAAATGCAGACCAAAATATATATTTCTTTTCACGTGCATTTTAATGTTTGTTTCTAGCACTGGGCAAAACGAATGGGTAACAAAAACATAAATGTGAAGACATCCCGTGGCACAAATATGTCTACAGTAGGTGTTGATATTGGAGACTGGGTCTATGAGAAGAAAGTTAGGGGCCAGTCGTCTTATGGCCCTGTTGTGTTTAGGTTAGAGAAACATAGTTTGTACCTGTCTGTTTTGTTAATTTTGCAATATTCATATTATAATGTTGTTTTTTATGATCATGGATTTCTTTGAAATGTCCTCCAAGAGTCCCAATTGTTTTACATTAAACAACATAGATAAGTGTGTGATAAAAAAGTTATTTTCATATATTACAGGACATGGGATTTTGGAGGCCAGCGTGAATATTATGCAACACATCAATATTTTTTGTCAAAACGAAGTCTTTACCTTGTTGTCTGGAGGATTCCTGACGGACAGAAGGGCATTAATGAAATTTTACAGTGGCTAGTCAATATTCAGGTAATTTATTTGTAGTTTTTATATCCTTGTGGGTTTAATCCTCCAGAGCCATCTACAAAAATTTAATGGCTTTGTTGTTGCAGGCACGTGCTCCAAACTCACCTGTGTTAATAGTCGGAACTCATTATGACATGATGAGAGAATACTATCCAGCCTCATATTCTGAAGAATTGCAGCAGATAATTCGAGACAAGTAAGAATAGATGTTTGTTTACTAAAGTGAATTTGAACAAATTATAATTTTCATGCAATGTTTATTTTACATGCTTGTTCCAGATTTATCAACATTGTAGATGCTGAAAAATGTGGGTTACCTCGTGTTCTTGACACAATAGAAGTAAGCTGCAAGACTCGTCACAATATAAAACTTCTCTGCAGCCTTGTTTATGACACAGTCTTTAGCTTGAGACCACCTGGTGAGTTGTTGTTTGTTTTTGTTTTAACAAGGAAATGAAATTACAATTCAATTTTTGAAACAAATTAATTTCATGCATACAAGAATATTTCATACAGAGTGTACATTTTATCGTTCGCCAAAGATTGGGGCAATGTCGCATTGGGAGTTGAGGTCTTGCATAACCAGTGAAGCGCTGACTCAATGCCCGTGCTGACATACATAAACTATTGCTGTGCTTAACTTACCTTAAAGAATATGCTGAATGTAGTGTCTGTCAGCTTGAATGCATTCGGCAACTCTGAAACATATTCTGATTTGCTCTTTGAAGTAAGTCTCAAGGAATTGCTATTTTTGCTTCAATGTAACATCTGTCGTGGAAGACGCCTCAAAGATTTTCTTGGAGATTGTTGTAACCTAACAGGAATTTCGTTCACATTCTCTTCCGTCAGGACATGGTGCTTTCAACACTTTTGTTTATCAATTAAAATTTCATGAGTGCAAAGTGTCTGGACAAGCTTCAAAACTGTCGGCCAATGTGGAATAGACATGTCAACCTTGTTGACAAGTCCCCAAGGCACCAAGGATTCAATTGCTGAGGCAAGCGCCGCTTCATCTACGGCGAAAGACCAAATATACACCATTCATAGCATAGATTAATTTTACCTGTAGTCACAACTAAAGCTTACACCAATGTCATGTGTTAACAATAACTTATCATTGAAAATTAGAATATCTATCCTAATTTAATTCTAAATTATGAAACCATTTGCTCTAAGTAATAATTGTTTAAGCAATTTTGATTGACTTTGATTTGATCAATTGAAGTGCAGTGAAATTGCTTTTGAAACAGAATTAAGTCACAATGTTAACTGCACCACTTTCATAGTGCCTTGTCGCTTTGACCTGCGTGATGGTGTAAGTACAGTTCACTTTGAATTTCCAGGGAGCAAAGAGCTGCTGCTTGAGCAGAGAGTGCCAGCCACATACTTGGCTCTGGAAGACGTTGTAAGTCATTTAGCAACTGAACGTCGCCTCACTGGTGTAGATCCTGTTCTCAATGCTGAACAGTATAAAGCAGTTGTGACAGCGGAAATGCAATATCGATGTCAAAGGTCCTTTCGTGATGCAGCAGAATTGCACCAAGCCACCCTATTTTTACATGAAAACGGTAAGCTTGTGTCCATTTTTTTCTTTGTTTTTCTCTTAATGCTGACAGTATTTGACACTTTTGGTAAAGTGGTGTGTATAATGTGTAATTTCAATGGAAACCTGTTGTTTTAGGAGTTCTCCTGCATTATGATGATGCTACTTTGAAAGATCTGTATTTCTTAGACCCACAGTGGCTTTGTGATATGCTAGCTCATGTTGTAACCATTCGTGAAATCAATCCATTTGCTCGTACTGGTGAGTAATTCCCTTTTTCAGACTCAAACCTTTTTTTATAAAATTCATATTATTTATGTATTATAAACTGAGAATCTTAATTATTTAATCAGATTAATTTATAAGCAAGTACTAGAGTTGTCTCAGCAGACATTTGAATATTTTGCCCTCCATGCAGGTGTAATGAAGCTAGATGATTTAAAGCATGTTTTTAAGTCTTCCAACATGGGCCACATAGACACACGTGGCTATATCGTAAATCTTCTCAACAAATTTGAAGTGGCCCTCACATGGGATAGTCGCACCTTGTTGATTCCTTCTCTTCTGCCTGCGGAGGAGCAGCTGCGCGTGACTTCCCATCAGCAGCTAGTCAGGGTAAAGGTGCTGCACAATGTCCTTGTTCTATCTGCATGCTAAGAATAGGATGCTTTCACACTGCCTTATATTTTCCTTCTTTTTTTCATTTGGTTGAACCTCAAAAACACAAAACTCGATACCTCAGATCATTTGATATTTCTAAGAAGTTTCTTTATTCATTATTTTCCTTCCTTTTTTTCAGTAATTTGAGACTCATTATGTTGAAATATTCCATTACTCAATTGTTCCCTTTTTCCTTCTTAATTGAAGTTACTGAGGTTCTCCTGTAAATGTGTGTCATATTCTTAGTTTTTGTTCATTATAAAGCACTGTTTTATGCAATGAATGGACTGCTATATAAATTATTATTTTATTCTCTCTTTCATAAAACATGTTCATGGAAACAAATTATCCACAGAAATACTTTTTTCCAGCAAAATCTCTGTATAGGTTGGTTTAATACGAATAGATTTAATAAAGCATTGATTCATGGGCAGTGTGGAAGTTACATTTCTTTTGTATATAAGTATTTTCCACATATCCAGTGCATGTAATGGCACACAATTTGAATTATTTGCATATATAGTTAAGATTTTATTTTATAATTTATTTATATGATTTTATATCCTTATTCTTGCTTTGCACTATTTGCACTGCATGAATAGTGAAATGCGATTTATGCTTTATTTCTAATTTCTCTGGCTAGGAAGGTGTCGGAATTAATTTCCTGCTTTGGTTCCAGTGTTATGGCTAAAAAAGGGCAGAAAAAGCTGGTATTGGTATACAAGAAAAATATGTTTATGCTTGATCTGAGCTTTATTGTTTTAGAATAATAATAATAATGATAATAATATATTATTACGTTTTTTAATTTCCTAATTCTCTTATAAACAACATATTTTCCTAGATCCCTGTACGGTCTCGAGGCTGGGCAGTGCGTAACAAGAAGATTGCCAGTTCAAATGCATCTACATTAGTAGGGAACTCGTCTTTTTACACTCAGAGTCCAGATAAATTCCGACTACAAAGGCCAGGATCTGCTCCTGCAATGTCTAGAAGTCCAGGTAATGTATCTGTTTTTTTGCATACAAAGTAATATTCTAAAAATTTAAAATATGAAAATTCTGATATTATTTGGTTTATTATTTGTTGGTTGTATTTATTGGTTGGTTATTAATGGCTTTTGAGAAAACTTTTTTGTTTGATTTTGGATGTTATCCAGTTCAGATCATCCCAATCTCTCCTTAAATTTGTTGTAGAAAAATTACACCTTTCTAAAAGATTAATTTCTTCTTGACACACTGCAGCTCAGGCTTAAGGCTTATTACTGAAATATATATTTGTAACAGATTTCTATCAGTATGTAGTAATTGTTTTGAATAAATTGGGTTAAGTTACAAAACAAGTTGATTTGAGAAGGAGGCTCTCAGGATGGTTAGTACGTTCATGTCAATTTGTACTTGGCATATTAAAGATTTCATTCAAAAAGCATTTTGTACTAATTTATCCTTTGAACTTGTTATAGATTTCATTCGAGTTAATAGTCTTATACAGAGCCATCTCATTAATAGATTTGAATTGTTTGGATACCACTGGGTAAACCAAAAATATCAGGCTGCTTGATTATTGATATTGATTGAATGTAAACATGCACAAAGAATAATAATATTAACAGGCGAAAGTACAAGTATCACATTTTATAATTTAAACAACAAAAAGGTATGCCTGGAAGAATAACATCCAGGCCTACTGATTTCATTAATGGGAACAGGCGATTAAGCTATTAATTTGCACCTTGTGATGGTGAAATTTTATAATGGACTTGGTGAGTAAAGATATGAGAATCATTGTAGTAATTTTGTGTGCCATTGCATGCAGGAGCTGGATCAAGTGAGGAAGTCGCAGAAACACCACCAGTACCACAGTATGAACTTACTCATCGATCTGATCCAGAGTGCTCTATTCGACGTTTGTTATTGATGTCATACTTTCCAAGTGGTTTTTGGTCTCGACTTATCACACGCATCCTTGCTGATGATGCAATTGTTGATATTGTGAGATCATTCTTTGTTATGCCCAAGGAGGTAAGATATACTTACAGATTTGTAAAATTGAAAAAATTAAAATTTGCTGAAAAAGGTGCAATAATAATTTTTATTGAAATTTTTAGATTTTTAAATTTAATGGATTGATTAATTAAATATTAATTTTAGTATTGTGTTATTAATGGTATGTAAGGGACAGGTGCTATTTTGTTAACAAAAATTAATATTACTTTGAGGAACTCTATATCAAATATTGTGAATTGTAGGTAGCACAAGATGCAAAACTTGCCCAGGTTCTTGATGTTAGGGCTGAATGGGTTTTGTGGCAAACTGGCATGGAACTCAAATATGCTGATACTACTTTGTTTCGTATGAAAGAAGTACTGCATTCACCAAGAAATTCCCCTGTTGACTATCGACAACTGAGGTACTTTCTTTGGAAAGCTTTCTTACGCATTTTGTACCTTGCATTTTTATGAACTGTTTATAATTTTTTTTAATTATGTAGGTTCCGCTTGAAACAAGAAGGCACTTGGTGTGATGTGGATTTGGCAAGCTCTTCTATTTTAGAGATATATTTCCCAGTAGATACTATTGTGATTAAAAGGCCTATTACTGATGAAGCAAGTGCTGGGGAAGCTATTGGTTACCAGGCTATTGTTCTTGATCCAAGTCCTGAATGTACTACTCAACTTCTTGCTCTAGCTGTAGATCATATAGATATTCTCCTTGAAGACTGGTATCCAACTCTGGGTATGTTTCTTATTCTTTAATTCTACTGTCTAACAAAATAAACGTATGCTACAACAGCTGTAACATAAAGGGTAACCATTGTCAGTTGTCTTCTACTAGCAATGGAGTGTTATGATAGGAGGCCCTAAATAAACAAGCAGAATTCTTTAAAATGTAGTAGAGACAAGTTCAAAAGCTTTTCAGTTTCATGGAAATGTGGGTTTATGCAAATGTAGGCATATTACGCTTGGAATATTAGCAGTAATAACTTTTAAGTGTTTAAGTTATGATCTATAGATAGAAGTCTTGAAATTAATTTTTTATTCATTTTGTTTCTGAGAAACTCCATTATTTCTCAGGGAAGGAGCAGTTGATGGGAAGTCAGTGGAAACAGAACTGTGATGCTCTGATGATTAAGATGTTGCACAGCAAATACTTTCTCCCATTATCTCCACCTTTTGCAATTTTTGAAAATTCAGAGTTCACTGACAATGGAACCTTCATGCAAAAATTATCCAAATATGTCTTGTTTTTTCAAAATATTATATATGATCTTATTTAAAGATCAATTCTTTTAAAACAGATTACGGAAAATAATCTATCATCTGTATTGTTCTTTTGCAATACAGAGTTTATCACAAATGGAATGAGTGCCATTTTTTGAGCATTCTTTGCTAAATATTAGGAAAAAAATTGGTGCTATTTTTAAGAAAATAATTGTTTAAAAGTTGCATAGGTAAAGTTATTATATTTTAACAAAAATTACATGTAAACTATTTATATTTAAAAAAATTGTACATGCACTTATTTAAAGATGAGTCTTTGGAGAACAGATAACATTAGAAAAAAAATCACTATCTTTAGTATTGTAGTTGTAGAAAGATACCAAAACAAATTTGAACTTTTGGAATTTTTGAAAATTTATAAATTTTAACAGAAATGGGATCTACACTATTATTTAAGTGTTCTTTGTGCTTTGTACTATCGTACCTTCAAAAATCAAAATATTCATTTCAAATTTTCAGGACCTTGAGTTTATTCAGAACGATCAGGAAATATCAATTTTGGAGGAAATCGTCTGAATGTTTTAGGTGCCTAACATTGGCCACAGACAGACAGACTGACATAGTGACATCCAACACTTTTTAGCTGGATTCTGATTACACAACATTTTAGAGGAAGTAATTTACTTTGTATAGAAATAGGATTTATCAACATTTTGATTTTTGATACCAGAACCCCACAATATGATATTTTTAGCCCCAAAATCGCAGATATTTTCTACATCGTTACAATACTTTCTCTTTATTGCGAGTTCTTTGTAAGGTATGAAAAAAATCTAAGCCAGGTCTACTTAACAAATGACTACTTAACGACGGCAAAATTGTGCAACTTTTCCATTTTATTTTAAGCGAAATCTCTCCTTGATAAAAATATAATAATCTGGAAAGAGGTTTTTGACAGACATCTGAAGATCATTTTTTGTGTTCTATTTCTAAACAATAAAAAAATGTTGTTAAATATGTTTGAGAAGCTTATTGAAAATCTGCGTAATATTCATAATTCATATGCTCTGAAAATCAATTTATACCAAAAACAAGAAACTATTTATTAAAAGACTATAAATAATTTACCACGCAGTATTTGACAGTATTCTTTATATTCTTCCTCAATTCCTCCTCAGAAAGATTTTCGTTATAAACATCATTTGAAGTGAGTATTGATCTGAAACTGTAAATGAACTTATATTACTATGGATAAAATTTCATAAATAAAAAGAGCGGACATTCGAAATGGAATTTCCATCTCATAGTGATGTTTTGAAGTGTTTCAAAGAGGGAAAGGTGTTAAAAAAGCCCTCTTTTGCAGACATATTTTTTTATGTGTGTTACAGGAACTCGTTTTGTGCACACATCCGAGGGCAAGTTCCTTGTGACCCGTCTGGTCCCGTGTCCTCGATGCCTAGCTCCACAGGCTGACACTGAGCTGCTGCAGCAACAGAAGGCTGACAGAGATGGATGGCCAGCCCCAGGTCAGGAGCAGCCACCGCCAGGAGCACCGACGCCTCTGCAGACTGGACTGGCAGCCAAGACTCTGGCTGAGGTGAGGTCTTAAATAGCAATTGTCTTTATTGAAGGGGTGTTGCTTTTTATGACTCATTTATCTGAGGAGCCATTCAAAAAATGTATTCACTTTAGGAGGGGGAGGGGGTTCCCAGTACTGAGATGAAAGGAAATGAAGTGGTGGGTGAGGTGTCTCATGAAAAATCTTCTTTGAACATTATATTCATATCAAGTTTTTTATTATTATTATTATTATTATTATTATTATTATTATTATTATTATTATTATTATTATTATTAGTCTGTTGTTTTTTTTACTTGGCCTTTATGTGATTTTTGTTCTCATAATATTGATCTGAAACTGTAAATGAACTTGTATTACTATGGATAAAATTTCATAAATAAAAAGAGCGGACATTCGAAATGGAACTTGCATCTCATAGTGATGTTTTTAAGTGTTTCAAAGAGGGAAAGGTGTTAAAAAGCCCTCTTTTGCAGACATATTTTTTTATGGTTAATTATTATTTCATTTTAAATTCAAATAAGACTATTGAAAATATGTTTGATCTTAAAAGCCACCAAAATTGTTTAAAAAATCAAGGATCCTTGTAAAAAAATGTTTAAAAACTTTGCATTGATCAGAAATCAGAAACTTACTACTTCTGTTCTTTTTTTTAAAAAAAAAAAGTTGGGAAGGGGAAAAAAAGAAAAAGGTACATGCTATGTTACATGTTGATTTATTCAGGCATTTCATCGAGCTGAAAATGAACAATTTGGAAGTCGCCAAGTTCGCAAATCTCAAGAAAGCTACACTTCGGAATGTGACAGTGGTGTGGGACCAGACAGTGCAGGTTCAAGGTGAGTTTATGTTTCCAGACTTCATACACTCAGGGCACTCTTTAGGGAAGTCTGCTGCACTCAAAACAATACAAATTATTGAATGAAAAATATGTGGGATTGGAGGCAAAGTAGGGCACTTTCCCATTCCATTGAAGGAACAGAGGTAGGCAGTATTCTCTGGCTGATTGGAAAGAACATGAGGGTCAGCACAGAAGTGGCAAAAGAAAAGGCAACATGCTCAAGGTCCCAAAACCTTTATCACACTAGTCAGGAGACCAGTCGGGTGCCTGGGGCAGCACCCCACTGCAAGAGATACCCGGGGGAAGAAATCCCATACAAGCTGATGTGTAGCTTGTCAGATCTCATCTTCTAGTAAGGGAGGAACACCACCACCCCTGGGATAAAAACATCCACTACATAAACGGGAATAATGACCATAGTAGTTGACATGCCCAGATTCATCAGTCATTCAACCAAGCAAGACCTTCCTTGTTGAGAGCTAGCCCTTATATGTGACAGTGCATTTGAGATTCAATCCTCTCCTAAACTACATAACCCATGAATATGTTGGGTAGCTGATTTGCTAATGTTGGTGTCATTGGTGATGAACTGGGCCCGGTAATATCATTTTCAAAGTTGTGCCAACTAGGTGGCCTCTTCATCCTTTATATACTGCTGCACTATAATGTACGATATCATCAAAGCATCACTTGCAAAACCCTGTGTTTTTCTGACACAAAGCACTGCTGATAGACTCGAGAGACCCTCAGCCTAGACATATGCATTTTAATTTTGCATTGATGGATCTTAGACCTACTCTGATTCAATACAAGTCTGTTGTTATTTGCACTCTAATTTCATCGATGTACTAATCCATGTGTTTTATTTGTATCTGAACAAAGTAGATTAATTTTTCTCTGATGATAATTGTCAGCAGTATGCCTACTGATTTGATTCACCATAAGTATAAACTTGTAAAGTTTACTGAAAATTAGAATTTGTTTACAAACTACTGGTCAGTAACAAAATTAGTTCTAAGCAAAATGACACAAGTACTGTACTAATTACATTTGTGAAAATATAAATCATTGTGCAGAACATCCTAGTGTGTGCTCGAAATGACTTCTGTATGTATAGCGAGAGTATTAGCTCTCTTCTGTTTTCACATGTATGTTATTCATTGTTTTCAGTCGCAAACACTCAGTGGAAGGGCATCCAGGAATAGGCACTGATGAGTCTGCATCAACCGAAGAAACAGAATCTCACCCACTCTTTAGTTGGATCATAGAAGAGTGTATCCTGGCTGCATATGACCGAAAAACAGTCACTTGTCCATCTCATGGTGATATTCCTTTGGCACAAGTTGCTCCTGACACTGTGAGTTATGTGTTAAGTTTTTTATTTTTTCGTTAGTATTAAATTTTACATTTGTTTTCATAATTAAAAACATATTGTATAAAAAAAAAGTGATGTAATGATCTTAAGGCTCATAACAGATGTTTTCAGATAGGGTTGATACGTGATAGAAGCACAGGTTTATTGATAAGATTCAAAAAGAATAAATTTTTATTTTCTTATAGACTATTTATAAATTGGTTATTTTGCAAATAAAGGACCTCAGTATTAGTTATACTCTTATGTACGATCTTGGCTTCAAGTCCTTGTTCAACTACACACATTAGTGTCATCTGAAACAAATATATTTTAACCTCTCTGATGTTTTCCTTGTAAGACAATAAAGAAAAAATTTTAATGAAAAATGTACAATATGGTGTTTCAGTCTTTTTGTTTTTGATGGAGGAAGTTTGATATTTTCTAGTTTTTCACATGCACTATTCTATTTTATTTTCAGATTTTCTTGGATCTAGGAGAACGTCATCTTGTTCGACCTGAGAATATTCGTCGGGGTCGATTATTAGGTCGTGGAGCGTTTGGGTTTGTGTTCAGAGGGACATGTCGAGTTCGAGGGACAAGTCAAACCATTGATGTAGCGATGAAGATGTTGCAACCAGTGCAACCCGGAGCGAATGCTCGGCAGTCAGCCCTCATTGCTTACAAAGTATGAGAGTGTCCTATTAGTTTTGTGTTTCTTATATTTTTCAACAAGGGAATTGTCATTAAAAATATGAATGATTTCAGGCTGCACAAGGAAAATGGGACAGAGATCCTCTTCAGTATGCTTGCAAAGCCTACTGCACTGCCCGGCAAGAACTGAATATTCTTCTAAGTTTGCGACATGCTAACATAGTGCCTTTGGTGGGAGTATGCACTCGTCCACTAGCTTTAGTTCTTGACTTAGCCCCTCAAGGTGCACTGGATGCCACGCTTAGACACTACCGCCGTTCAGGTGCTCGCTTTGGGGTGTTCTGCCTGCAAGCCATTATCCTTCAGGTAAGGTCTTCAAGTTGATTCTTTGTTGTACATATTTGTACCCTAAGTTATGAGTTGCTTTTCTTTAACAGCTGAATTTTTATAATGTCAATTAAAGTTGTAAATTCGTAGTGCAGTATCTTTGATTTCAGTTGTAGTAATAGCTATTTCTTAACAGTAAATGTATTTTATATAACGGTAGTTATTCTTATCTACAATATTTTTTTTAATCATTAACACCTTCAGCGATCCAGTTTTATCTTTCATGTTCTTTGTACCTTCTACAATTTTTTTGTAGGCTGCAAAAGCTATCGAATATCTACATCAACAGCATATTATCTACAGAGATCTCAAATCTGAAAATGTTCTTGTGTGGGAGATGCCTCCTCCGTTTCAAGATGGACCTGAAAGTTCTGTTCATATCAAACTTGCTGACTATGGTGAGTAACTGTAATATTATCGGGAAATCAGAAGCAGCTCATGACGGTGTTACGGTTGGTGATTCACAAAATAATCACAATGTGGTGGTTCACCCTCGCGCCTCGCTCAGGTTAGCGAAGTCACGTGATGTGCGAACATGGTTCATGGCGATAGGTCGCTGTTCGCAAATGGGATGTCTCTCAGGCAGACAGTTCCACGAAAATTTGAGTGTTGATCGGTTGTGGGGCGGTTGGGACGGAGGGGGGTGCAC